GGCGGCGAGCTACCCTTGCTCGCCGTCCGCAGACCCTCGCTTACGGTGGCCGGAGATCGTCTCTTGAACATCTAATGGTAAGCAATTGGACACCCATCTTTGGAGGATTTAAAGTAGGAGAAGAGTCCTTTCGGATTTTTGGGGACCTTCCCTTATCCCAATGATTCTGCTTTTGACAACCTTTTTTTAGATGCAAGCAATTTAAAAATATCGTCAAACATAAATTGTCAAAATTCTTGATAGAAAACTGTTATTATAGTGTTAGTTTTTTAGAAATAGATTTTAGATCAAAATAATTGACAATTGTATTAAGTAAATGCTATTTGTTTCCTATTTATTGTGTTTAGTTGTATATATGCTGTGTAGTTTTGTCTAATTTGTATGCCCTATGTGGCTGATCACGGCATGAACATATTCTATTTATAAGATCTTTATACCTGTGAATACCAAATAAACGATTTGATTTGATTTGATATTATCAATATTTTTCCATCCAAATCCGATCACTGGGCTCTATACTTTTTACTCTTATGAAAGTATGAAAACCCATATCTTTTCTAACCGAAAACACTAAACTTTTCATACTTATTCAGTTGTCCTTTTAAATATTCAACCACTCTGTTCTCTTTCCTTACCTCACCTTTTTCGTCTAGCTATCTATCGTCTTACTTTCAATACATGTGCGCAAACCACAGCAAGAACCTTCGTTCTTCCCATAACCGTCTTCTTCAATGTCCCACTCATCGTACTGATTTTCTCCACTCCTCCTTTTTCGTCCAGTCTGTCTTGCTGTGGAATGCGCTCCCCCCTGATATCAGGATAGTGTCTAGTCGTTTGACTTTCAAACAAAAGGTTCGTGAGCTCTTGCTAAAAGGTTTGGCTGAATCGTGACCACCATATATATAGTATATTATAATAATTATAAGTATATATTATATATGTATATGTTATTTATAAATATATTATGTAATTTGAGTACTTAGTTTATATATATTATATTGTAACTTGTAACTTGTGTGTAAATATTTGCACATATATATGTATCTATCTCGTCTTCACTCATTTAAATTTAAGTCTGTTTGCTTGCTTCTTGCACCGACCATTGGCTCATCTCTGCATCACCCAAGGCTCGACTGGTAGAAAATGCCTAAGGCATTAAGTCCGCCTATGTACCCATTGTGCATGAAGTTTTAATAAATAAATAAATAAATATTCTCAAATCATATAGGTAAATACTAGATATTTACGTCAGACGAAAATAACATCTAATTATAATACGATATAACGTTAATAAGGCTTATTTTACACTACAAAGCCCACAATGTGACATTCATTAATTTTGTGTACCGTTGCATGAAGTATCATATGATGTGTCTTCGAAATAATTTCACATACGTAAAAGACATTTAATCAATTTGCAATTTATTAATTAGATTCATCATTCCCATCACAAGTTACTTTATATATAATATGTTGTCTGTTTAATAATTATGTTCACTAAGTGAGGATATCGGAGACCCGAACCAAATTGAAAAAAATAACTCGTTACCGCTTGCTCAGTTCCACTCACTTCTCGGTTCTTATTATTATTATTTTTTTCTTAAAAAAAACGTTGCCCCACATAAGGATTTTCTCCTGTGTCGTGGGTGCGTTTACAAACATACAATGTCACATGCATCACACCCAGACCCGGAACAACAATCTGTGGATCACACAAAGAGTTGTTCCGTGCGGGAATCGAACCCGCGACACGTTGCGCGGCAGCCAGTTGCCCAGCCACCGCGCCAACCGTGCAGTCTAATATTATTATATTATTGGTCGTAGAATGATGTTTTATAGCCCTCAAAAATACAGCAGCTATGAGCTCTGCAAGAATTTTGGAAATTCGACAGGCGCGCGGTTTCCATGATTCGTATAAAATATAATTTCGACATAAAAAAAATAAGAATTCTACCGCGCGATTTTACCCGCTGCTTGGATCCTATTGGTCGTAGGGTGATCTTATACAACCTATAGCAATCGGCATTATTGTATCTATCAATCAGTGAAAGAATTTTGCAAATTCGACCCGAGCGTCGGCACCCATGATTATCTACATTATGATTTAGTATCTATAGATTTATTATGAGACAAATTTACAGTTTATAAAAGAAAACAAGCCATGATGTCAGTTACTGATATCTGATCTGATGGAACAACCATGTACTACGTTCTACTACTACCATCAGGTGATCCGTCTGCTCATCATCATCAGCCTATAAGTGCCCACTGCTCAGCAAAAGCCTCTTCTCATACGGAGAAGGTTAGAGCATTAATCACCACGCTTGCTCAATGCGGGTTGGCGATTTCAAACTTATAATTAGAAATTATAAGTCCAGGTTTCCTCACGATGTTTACCTTCACTGTATGTCAGTGGTGTCTAAAAGTCATAGAAAGTACATATAACTTGGAAAAAGTCACATTGCCTCCTCATGCATGAGAAGCCGTCTGCTCGTTTGCCACCTATTCCATAAAAAGCACATCCAGTAAGACGTACGCCCAAAACATAGATAGATAAGTGAAACAAAATGAAAGACGCAACATTTGTTACAACTATAAAAAGCGAAATATTTCCTGACTGATATCTCTTATACATCACTTGGGATGAAGGATTTCTTTTGTTTGTATCTGGAATAAAACAAATATAACTTTCCCCTGGCTTTGAGCTTATATCAGACGTGGAATAGAGATTCTGGAAAATAGTTAAATGTGGAAGAGCCTGGCTTTGGCTCGAATGGGTCGACTCGACCGGAGTGATACCTCGGCCTCACATAAAACCGGCGTAAAACAACCATAGCGTTTGGTTTTGCTGCGTGAGTGGGGTTACCGGAAGATGGTAAGAATATTATTATAGATTTAAAATAGTGCATAGTTATAAGCAGATGTTAAGCCAAAGAGCGGGCGGGAGGGAGTGTCAGACTCTTACTGACTGAAAACCCCCCTGTTCCTTCTTCTGCTCTGGGCCGGGGTTACGGTGCCTCATTGCGCTTACCCCGCAACCCCGTATGGTTGGAATAACATAACTGTTTTATTTTATAGATAACCTTTTTGCGTGATTATTATTATAAGTGTCTGCCTTGGCCGGTTACAAATTTACTAAATCTAAGAAGTTCCGTTCAAGCAAAGTTCCACTGGAACATTATTTATTTTCGTATAGGTATATTATCCTATGGTGCAGGACCAGCGCATCTCCAAGCATCCTTATCCTCAATACAATCACTCAGTTTGTGATAAGCTTTTTTACACAAAGTTTTCTTTACACATAATTTAAAATTTATTTCATTTAATTGTTGTATTTCGCCTGGGATTTTGTTATAACACTTAACGCTGAATCCCATGAACGACTTGGGTACCTTTGCCAATCTAAATAATGGCTGACACAATCTATCTCTATGTCTAGTTTGATAATTATGTCAGTCTGATACCTTATCAAATAATTTGAAGTTTTTCCTAACATACATTATATTTTCATAAATAAACTGACCTGGCACAGTTATAATATTGATCTCTTTAAACTTTTCTCTAGGAGATTCGCGAAGCCTTAGGTTGTAAATTGCTCTGATTGCACGCTTTTGCAAGACAAAGATAGACTGTCAGCAGCCTGTTCCCATAACAAGATGCCATACGACATAATGCTATGAAAGTAGCTGAAGTACACCAGTCTTGCAGTGCCCACATCTGTTAGCTTTCGGAACTTCCACACAGCAAATGCAGCAGAGCTCAACCGTCCTGCCAGAGATGTGATAACGGGTCCCCATTGTAGTTTCATTTTGTTTTACAAATTCCAATTTCTTACCGTTTAATAATATGTCACATTCGTTACTTTTAACATTTGGCTAAACTGAATCGTATACACTTTGTCTTTTTGTCGTTTAGGACTAAATTATTAACTGTGAACCAATTACGAACCTTCGTAATAGCATTATTAACTTCGTCATATAATTTGTCCGTCTATTTATTTTACGATATGTCATCAGCATATAATACCATTCCCGGTTTTCGTTGAAATAAACGAGGTAAGTAATTTTTTTAAACCAAAAACAGGAAAGGACTTAATAACGAGCCCTGTGGTACGCCCATGGATATGCTAGCACCCTGGGAGTTCACTTTATTTACCTGTACTTTGAGCTGCCTACCCTGGAGGTACGATTTTAATAAATTGAGTGAAGCCCCTCGAATACCATAGTGTTCCAAATTCAGCGACAGTGTCTCGTGTTCGGCGCAATCAAAAGCTTTGGACAGGTCACAAAAAATTCCAATAGCGTCGTCGTTTTTTTTAATAGGTCGGCAAACTAGCAGACGGATTACCTGATGGTAAGCAATCAGCGCCGCCCATGGAAACTCGCAACGGAGGAGTTACGAGCGCGTTGCCGACCTTTTAGGGATTAGGGATTTGAATATTTAGGGATTTAGGAGGGATTGGGGGAGGGGAAGGATTGGGCCTCCGGTAACCTCCGGTAACTTAATTAGAGTTGCACCGGCGTCAGTTGTTCATCGACCCTTGGTGAACCCATATTTGATTGTACTGAGCATGTACCTTTCTGCTCTATAATAAATAAGACGTCAGTCTATTAGGTTATAGTTTTGTGTGTGTTTTTTTTAATTTTGATGTTAAGTGTCTGTAAGAATATATTTAATGATTTCCTTAAAACCATTAATCATCTCATGGCATTATTGACGCGACCATCGCATGTGCTGGCCGCCACGTCAAGTTTGGCATCCACACAGGGGGATTGTGTTATATTCAATTAATTCATTTTGTCTCACAATTCATGATAAAATAAACATATCGAATGAAACTAGAAAACTAACACTAAGATTTTAATTCTTTATACTACATTTTGTTATCATTACTAATCAAAAAGTCTACGATACAAATATTTATTTTAACATAGTACTTAGAGAATACATTAAAAATAGTAATACAAAGATAAAATGGATTGATTTGATATGGTCTATGTCTAACAAACAGGTGGAAAGTCACGCTTTTTTTCACAGATAAATGCAGCTGGCCTCTCACACCAGAGGTCGTTCAACAAAGCGCTCCGGTATATGCTACCACAGAATTCTCCCGGTGTGGAATTACTTGGTTCTCCAGGAGAAAATTTGTTGTACCCTGTCTCTGTTAGCGTTAGACCTGAAAATAATGATAATATGGTACAATCGTCGTATTGTTTGACCTTCAGGTTGAGCAAAGAAATAATGTGACGTAAACTATCTAAAATCATAAAAGTTTTGTCAAATAATGGGTTTCCGTTTTTTATATAAATGATTTTTTTTACCTATGCTAGAATTTCTAACTTAAATAAATAATTTTGATTGTAAAAGTAAGTTAGGTTTGATTACTTATTTGCAAAAATATTTTTTTTTTTCATCGAGATTTTTACCGTGAATTGTCCTCCAGTCAGACGATTGAGGCCAGCTGTAAAAACCAACGAATGCGACATCTCTCCAGAAAGAGCCCAAAATCTTATTGATAGGGTATTTTGCGAAGGTTTTTTTGAGCACCGCAGCTTCGACATCGCTTTTGATTATGGCAAGATGACCTCCTTCAGCAGAACATGCGAAGTGTGCGCCAGAGAATGTTCGAGCCACTGTGTGGAACTTATAGCAAGTGTCCGTTTTTTTATCCAATTTGTATTCTGAAATGCAGACAGGTCTCGAAAGGTAACATAGCCTAAATAAAAATAAAAGTAAACTTGTAAAATCATTTAAATCAATTAGACCCTTACAGACACTTTTGAACGTCAAACAAAACTCAAAGATGAAGTGTCAGTCTTTCGGCTCTTAGTAAAGCAATTTTTGCTTGTTCCAATCCGTTGAAAACATTATAACTGCAGGCAAAAGGGTTTCTAAATTATCATGACATACGAATCTATTACAAACCTGTTAACCTATTATAACACAAAAGACTAGAATATACACGATTTAGAAATAAAGTAAACAAATTAATATATAAAACAAGAAATAGTTTTCGACAGGAAGAAATTAAGATGTGTAATGGAGACCCAAAAAATCTGAGATAGAATTAACAGCTGGACAGGTTGGAAAAAAGTAAATATTGATGATATCGTTAAAAGATACTTTGGAGGTACAGACACCATGTACAATATATGTAGTAGATTTGCAGATACATTTACGAATGAAATTATTAATATTAAACATAATTGTAATATTAAATTATGAGACAGAAGTAAATATGTTACGGAAAGTGATGTAACGTTTTGTTTTAAGCCGGCAGCACTACTTCGCAGAAAGAAGAGACGACTTCCCAGTTCCTCTCGCTACAAACCATGGCCTTTACCAAGGCCGTCGCGAGAGGTCGCCACTGCCGGTCACTTCCCGGGGGACGCGGTGATGCACAGTCCAAGCTGGGCACATCGCAACCAAATGCTCCACCGTATCCTTAGGGTGGTCTTCACAATGACGACAGTCGGGCGTTTCCTCCCGTTGGATCCGAAACAGGAACCTACCGAAGCTGCCGTGCCGTGCACTCCTCAAAGAGCTGAATGCTACTATAACAGCATGCCCTGCGACAAGCGTTGCTTCCAATCTGCCCTGAGATCGCGCCGGACCTCGTACCACCACGGTCAAATTTGGCGCGGCAGAGGATCCAGGAGGTCAAACTGTAGATGCGCGCGGGCGCCTTCGCCTCCAGATCCCATGGCGGTGATCCGGAAATCTGGATGGTATAGAGGTAAACGCGGAACTGCGTGTCCACTGGCTTTCAGGAGTTTGTCAATACTATACACGGGTTCTTTTTGTGTATTTTTGAAAAGAAATAACAGCTTTGTCATGTTTGCTGAAAATTCTACATTCTGGCATAGTACCCAGTTTTGCATTACACTTGAGGCTTAATATAACTTTTTCTAATCTCAACTAAACGATTTAGTAAGACTCGTTGTCCATTACAAACACAGAATTCGGTAGAAGCTTAGCCTTTGTCTTTTTATTTACTTACTTATAAAAAGTAGGTCCGCTCATATCTCCATGAAAGTCACCGGTTCTAGCATCTGATTTGGATATAGTCAATGCATCAACTACTAAGCTATTTCAACACCCAGCAGCGTGGACAGTTACCTGTCGCCATCGTTTCCTAACTTCAGCTTGAATTCCGGGGTCTCCCGATGATTGCCTACATTTGCTGGCATGGTGACTAGCGTTGATTTACGTTTCATAATGTAAATATATGTTGCGTATTTTGATTCCTACAATTTTTATTTGTGTAAAATATTTTTGCGCCTCATTGTTATATTAAACTGCTCTAAAAGGGAGTAGCATTTTTTGAAACGGTGGCCCATTTTGTGTAAAAATAGTCTTAAATATTACCGTCCACAATTCAATAAGCCATTCTGAAGTTTTGGTTTTATAAACGATGGAAATACCAATTTGCTTGAATTTATAAATAACCCACAGAAAACATATTATACTGTACCCCGTAAATTCCGCAAAGTATTTGGCAATATTCACATTATTTTTAAATTTAAATTTAAAGCTTTCCTTTGCGTATTTTTCTTAAAATATTCAGCCACCTTAGAAATGACAGTCTTCATATCACGAGAAAACGCCCGACCCATCTTTAAATATATGTCTCATGCACGTCTGCACTTTTAAAGATGTGTGACATTGACAGTCCGATTCAGTTAACACTACCTGTCGTCACGACAGTTGGCGCACTGACAGAGCGCACCAGCTGATTTTCCTTGGAAGGTTTAGAGAAAGGGAACGTTTTGGGATTTGTCACTTCTATATTCTGTATGAGAGGCAGATTATTTCTTTTTTTAATGCCTTCCTTTCCTTAAGTGACCACTGCTAAACAAATCTCTTAAATGGAGTCTGAGCATGACTTGCCACTCTTGCTCAATGTGGATAGGCAATTTTTAACTTATAATTAGAAATTGTAGGTTCCGGTTTCAAAACGATTATTTCTTAAGCAGTATGCCGGTTCGGCTGGGGCTACGTACCGGCCCGAACTGGAATAGGTGGAGGAACGCAGTAGTTTTGGTGAGGTAGAACCTAATTAACTTAGTTTTGGTGACAGCACAATGCACAAATTGTTATTTTCAGTCTGGGTGTGATGCATACGTTAGTTCCTATGTTATGAAGTGCATCTACGATACAGGAAAAAACGTATGACAAAAATAAAATAATATATTATACATATACCTGGATCTATAGTCCCGCATTCGTTGACCTCGGTTTTGGTGTCGGCTGATCGGAAACAAATGTAAGGTCGAGGCTCGTCACAGGATCTATCTGCCATTTCACCATCAACATTTAACGTGATACAGTTTTCATTATTCCCAACATTATCTGGTTCCTTTTCTGCCCATGGTAAGGACAGTCCGCTTAGGGGTACGCCTGGAAATTCGTAATTATATTATTTTTATGAGATACTCATAAAGTTAGTTGTGTTAATCACATCGGTTTTTAGCAGTGCCGACCGAGTGACACCACAAACTCACAGAAAACCGGCGTGAAACAACCATAACGGTGTGTTTCGTCATGTGAGTGAGGTAACCGGAAGCCCAATCCTTCCCCTCCCCCAATATTCCAATCCTTTAGTCGTCAAAAAATCAGAAAATCCCCCGTTGTTGTCATGGGCGGGGCTGATTATTTAATGGGACAAGCCCACCAAAACCGTTGCAACTTCGCTGCAAAGCCAGGGTCTAAACCAGATACAGCCAGCGAAACTCCGGATCACTAAAGTCCGTCCCAGGGACATGAATGATTATCTGGGTTCCCACTACGAAATAATTTAAAAGATAACATGCATACATTAAACGAAATAGCGTTCACTTCCCTCGGTAAATTTAATGCAGGAAACAAAATAACGTGAGCCCTAAAGGCACAAAAGATACTACAAAGCAAACACCACGCAAAATGTTCTATTGTAATGGGACGCATGTGTGGACGGTGATTGCTTACCATTAGGCAATCTACCTGCTCGTTTACCATCCTATCACATAAAAAAGTACCGAAAGTCTTCAGTATAGGGCCATATCCCATTCGGAAAGACACATCATGGCTTTAACACGTGTATATAAATGTTTGACTTCCTTGAATTATTTTCTTTCTGTTAATTATTTTCTAGAGAGTTTGAAATACTTTGTTAATCAGTGTTGAGTTCAAATCAAGTTTTAGACGTTGTTATTAAAATGTGTTTTGTATAACAATACCTTCAGTGCTGTAGAAGTTGCCTCGTGAAAAAGTTGCGTGGAATCCAGTAAAGATTTCTGAATCAGGATTGAAGAACTTTTGCATGATGATTTTCATCTCAGTTACCATTTTGTCGTTTAGTGGAGAAGCTAGTTTTGCACCTATTTTGAAAATCATAGATATAAATGTTTATCGCAGTGCGGTGTAGGCAGGGAAGGGCCATGCGGTGGCATTTAGTCAAGTCCGATATTCTCTTTGCCTAGCCTTAGAGGGAAGAAGTAATCTGATGATATTCCCTCGTCTAGAAGCATGAGGTTGATGAGGGGGTTATCAAGAGGAGACTCGTTGGGGCCTTATTTTTTAATGGGACAATCCCGCCACACCATCCCAAAACCGCTGCAACTCCTGTAAACCAGGATCGACAATCGATACAACCATTAAAACACCGGAACACTGAAGTCCGGCGCGTCCCAGGGACATGAATGACTGTCTCAGATCCCGCAACGGAGGAAAAAATACAAAATAGTTTCCACTTCCCTCGGTAAATTTAATGCCACGGAATTTTTTGTATCGTTATTGTAATGGGACCTATGTGTGAGCTGCTATAGTTGTTTACAGTAATAGGTATGGCGAAAACGCCTAAACGCACGGAAACTTGTTCTACATTCCACAAGATCCGTATAATAAACTACCAATACATAGTTGTTGTGAAACAAATATGTGTGGATTACACAAAGTATTGTTCCTTGCGGGAATTGAAACCGCGACAGGTTGTAAAGAAGAAAGTTTAAAAAAAAAAATTGCAGGCAAAAGCTAAACTAACAAACTTACCTTGCAAGGCGCAGCGCAGGTGTGCATCAGCCCAAGTAGCTGGTATCAAATAATGTTTGAACCAGCCATTTGCTTCAGAGCTATATTTGTAGTCACAACGAAATGCTGCCTCTAAAGATAAAGCCAATAAAATCATTAAAATCAAGTTTCAAAGATAAACAAATAAAAGTTAAGAAAAAATATCTGACTGTGGATGATCGGTGCTCATAACAATCGCGATAGACGTGGCTTCGATGACCCTATCATGGTAAACTATGGTCGTTTCCGTAATCAAGATCTTTGGGTATTCTTTGTGTATTTAAATTAAGTCGGCCTACGACAAAATTTTAATACACACGACAAAGGAATTCTTTGTCCGACACCTAAAGTCGTTAGATTTTAATAAGACATTTATTTCTATTAATTGGTAACCTATAATTTTTGTGCTATGTAAATTTAATTTCTGGTGGAATATTTATATTCTCAATTTTAAACTATTGCCATATAAAACCAAAATATATTTTTCAAAAAAAGACGTATTGGTTTCGTTGTAAGCAAAGTAATATACATACGTAGTTACCAGATCATATATGAAAGAAAATTTAAAAAACAAATCCATCGCAAAAGCAGTATATATTACCTATATAGCAGAATAGAAAGAAAAACCCGATAGCAGAATATTTTACACCAGTCTTCATGTTGTTGGGTAATACACGTCTTTATGTAATTTAAACTCAATAGTGTTATGAAATGAGTGCTTATAATATCACCCGTTTATAGCTTTATCATATATTGTCAGTCATGCATCGGTCCTCAAAGTTTTAGCCAAATATGGAACATACGGTTCATTTTTTGGAAATGGAATATATTTATTTGTAAAAGATTAGTACTTACTCGTTAGATTGATTAAACTGACGAAAATTTTATCATAGTTCCCACATTTACTGTAGGACTAAAGTTTAACGACCTCAGAGGCAAACTATCCTTCCAAATTATTGGGTAATCACTGAAATCAATGGTCCAAACAATGACGTCCATCTTAGTAAATGGCTTAAAGGGGTGTGAACTTTGTGATAGATTAATGGTAGATAAGGCTTTCATAAACCGCTTTGGAGCCGTTGTGATGACCCCTCAAAACCATCTAAATTAAGTGAAGCAAAACATGGTTTTATTTAATCGAGGTCTACAGGTACAAATTTTAAGCTATTCATTAATTTAATAATATAATTGAGTGGAGATTCGCAAGAGTAGGAGTTGAAGGAGACTCGGGGGAAGGATGCATCTCAGTAAGGTGCTGGTAGGGGCCTTGACCGTACTTCCGGGATTGCTCCAAGCAGCTCAACGTATGTTGCCCCCGTGTCGCTACATGCTAGCGGCCGTTTCCGGAGGCCCATTAATTGAGTTTGCCAGTCCCCCCTGCCTGTTTATCCGTATGTATCAATATTGGTCAGGGGCAGGGGCCATAGTATTTCCATAGTTTTCATCCACTAGTGCATAGCAACCCATACCCATAATAAAAAAATAGTTCTGCATCAACCGGTGATTGTCCTTGGGTGCACTTTTATAGTGCATACAGGAATAATTGCGGGCTGATGTCTCATCACATTAAGATTAAAATTGTTCAACGGGCCTCTGCGAGTTGGCTTCAGCTCCTCGTACGCCTTCCAAAGTTCAGGGACCCTGTGGTCCCGTGAAGGGAAAGAATAATAATAAGTGTCTTATGGATCGATACGTTTTTGTTGTGGTAAACGGATGGTTAACATCACGTTGAATTTCATAGGCGTACCACAAGGAACTCACTTGGATCCAGTTTTATTTAATTATTTCTTCAATAATATACCTTACTGTTTTGTTCTACATTCGAATATTTTATGTACGCCGATGATATAAAATGTTAAAAATAAAAACTATGTTTATGAACTACATAGGGATCTAGAAAGGTCTGTTTAATGGTGTGATAACAATGCAATGCACCTTATGTACTTTAATGATAACATGTGAAATTTTCTAAAAAGCATACTTTTCACCTTCAAGAATTCCTCACAGCTATGATTACATTTTCCAAGGTTATTAATAATTGCATAAGTGATCTGCACTTTAACCCTTAGAAACAATTAAAAACTATTTTTTATAAATATTCACACAATAGGAGGCAGTTCAGTGAATTGCCTCCTATTGTCTAAGTAAAGTGATTATTAAAAGATATTACAGAAATCTAAAATATGAACACATTTTATTCCAGGATGGAGGTTTCAGACAATACCATTGCCAAAATTACATCATAATTTGGTCAACTGAGGCTTTAGAAGTCAGGAACGCTGCAGTAAATAAAGCTAATTTAATAACATGTACAAGTATAATAAGTAATTAGGTTGGAAACACTAGGTGATTCGCTTATTTTATTTAGAATAGAACACTAGTTTAGCTCGAAATAAGTTTAGAAATCGTGCATTGTTTACTGTTTGATCAAATACTAGTAAGATATTTTGATTCGTGTAATTCAATACTTCACCTAGATATTATAAACATGTGCTAGTTAGATTGTAAATATGGTCGTGCAGTTTGGATTATGGCACTACTCGTACTGACTAAAAATCATCCTGTTATTTTCCGTGACCCCGGGGCCACTTACACTTGTGATACGTCCCCTGTGACATGGAGCCAAACAGAGCCGATGTTTAGCCGGGGTAGCGGTTTAAACGCAAGGTACAGCGTTCTCGGCTTAGAATCTCTGACAATCCCTGAAAAATATACAAAAAATAAATAAAGCCCTAGTTGCCAATCTTGTCATAATTACACGTATTCTTGTATATCGGAAAGAAATTTGAATTTTTGTTTAGACGAGAAAGAGTATCAACTATTTTAATGTGGAGTAAATTTATGTTCCGGTGTAATTGTAACTAAATGCGCTAATTCCATTGAACAGCCGGTGTCGATAACTTAAAACATTTTTACTGCCCACTTTAAAATATATTTTCTGCTGATTTGATAAAAACTCATTATAAACAAAACTCCACTACGAAAATAAGTATCTTCAGTATCAAACTATATAAAAAAATTGGTGTTATTTGTATCACCACATTTTATATATAAATACCATTAAAGATGAGTTCACCGATCTCACATTGAAGTATCTCATAAATTTTTATAATGACTTCCTATTGGCAACAAAGATATGAAATCTGGAGGGAATCTGGTAACATTTTGCAGTGTAACCATCACACACTGTGCTTTTGACACTATTTTAAATACATTAACAATTTTTTCTGGCAGGTATAAAATAACAGATAGGCAGACACATCACCTAATCTCAAGCATTCGGACCACCCACAAACCTACTTTAACCTGATTAAGTATGGGAGAGCCAAAGAGCGGCATGAATGGATCGGCTCGAGCGGAGTGATACACGGCTTAACAGAAAACCGGCGTGAAACAACCACAGCGTGTTGTGTTTCGCCGTGTGAGTCAGGTTCATCATCAGCCTATAAGTGCCCACTGCTGAGCAAAGGCCTCTTCTCACACGGAGAAGCTTAGAGCATTAATCACCACGCTTGCTCAATGCGGGTTGGCGATTTCAAACTTATAATTAGAAATTATAAGGTTTCCTCACGATGTTTTACCTTCACCGTATGTCAGTGGTGTCTAAATAATCATAGAAAGTACATATAACTCGGAAAAAGTCACATTGGTACTTGCCAGGTTTCGAACCCACACCCTCATGCATGAGAAGCAGGCGCCTTAACCTCCGGGCCACCACCACATTCAGGTTACGGAGGTTCAATTCCTCTCCCTACCCCCATCGCTTCCCAATCCTTAAATATCCGAAATCATTATCCCCAAAAGACCGACAACCCTCTCGAAACTCCTTTTGTGTATAGCGGGTGTCCATGGGTGGATTGCTTACCATCGGGTAATCTGACTTTTTGTTGCTGCTTGTTTGTCGACCTAGCCCTTAAAAAACTCTTAGCAAATTGTTGTTCCGGGTCTGGGTGCCGTGCGTGTACTTCACATATATGAAGTTGTATGTTTCTGAACCCACCCAGGACACAGGAAATATGTCAAGAGCGTCTTTTAAAAAAAGGAATATCGTGTAGATATTAAAAACAAAATAGTTACTCTTAGTTATTTTTTATTCTTTATTCCTAATACAATTAATGTTTCAGTGGTAATCAAAAAGTCCACAGTACGATACATTTGTTTGTAAATATTTGAATCTAATTAAAAAATACAAAGATGAAATCCATTGATTGTATCATGTCTACCCGTGCCCATGTTTTACGTCAAATTTAGATTGACGTTCTAATGGAAGACAAATATGTGGATGGTTTCTTTTCTTTTCACAGATGAATGGTGCTGGCCTTTCACACCAAAGATCGCAGAGTAAAGCTGTTCGTAATATGCCACCACAGTATTCTCCCCTTGTGGCGTTGTTCGGTTCTCCCGATGCGAATTTTTTGTACCCTGCCTCCTCTAGCGTTTGACCTAAAGTATAAATTTTTGATTAAGCGCTTACATTCTCTGACCTTCCCTTGAAAAATTGGGACTATATGAGAAAAATGTAAAGCTTTAATTGGACTACGAAGTAAGTAGATGGTTTAAGTAGTATGAAGTGTACCTAGCCCTACCGTCCCTAAGAGTGTATACGCATCAGAAATGACAGAAAATCACAAATCGCACAAAGACAACTTATACCTCCTGAAGGAGCATGCAACAATGACGATGTACAATCATCTTCTTCGAAGTGATTTTCAATCTGGATATTATTCTTGTATTGTTGTATTGTACAATAATATTAATATTTTGTAGTAGATCCATACAAAATTATTCCATTTTCAGAAGTCTTTCCTTAAAGTAACGCCGTTTGTTTTCTTCAGACTTTTTCGTTTTCGATGATTCTCAGAAGTATAAAGAAATCTGAAATTCTACCATTACTTTTGGTTGGTGGAGCTAAAAAATCGCAAGTTTTACCGTGAATGGTCCTCCAGTCCGCGGTTTCACCCCAATCATGGAAACCAACGAATGCAAAATCTTTTCGGAAAGAGCCAAACATCGTTCCACTAGGGTATTTTGCGAACAGTTCTCTAAGCACCGTAGCTTCGACATTACTGTTGATTATGGCAAGATGACCACCTTCAGCAGAACACGCGAAGTGTGCGCCAGAGAACGTTCGGGGCACTGTGTGGAACTTATAGCAAGAGTTCGTTCTTTGATCCAGTTTGTATTCTGAAATTATAAAATGTGTCGAAACGTAACATAAGCAGCAGAAATTTTGATTCTGATAAAAGGGAAAAAAAAGATAAAGACACTGAAACGACTGCAAATAAAGCTCCCATTCTTAAAATATTGACAATAACTTTAATACTTAATGTGCAATGTGTTATATTATGAGGCAAATAACTTTTCGTATAAGAATTATTTGTAAACAAAAACCGCTTCTTCAATTTTGGAGAGAGATGATATATATAAAAATAGTGCAGTGCAGAGTTTCAATGGGCTCATAAAGTCTGATGATATTTTATATATTTTTTATGGGATGGGTCGGAAAGCTATCAGGTGAAGTAACTGATGGTAATGCGTTGCCAACCCTACGTTGCCGGGCTTTTGTGGGTTGTTAGTCATTTAAGATTAGGGAAAAATTGTGCCTCCGGTAATCGCCCACATACTTCGAAACACAACCTCATGGCCTACTTACACTTAAATTTACGTTCATAGCCTTTGCTACTACTGCTGATCAAAAGGACACTTATAATTATTGTGCTTGAACCGCAAGCCTGACTGAAAATCAGCCCTCTTCGGCTTTCTGTATAAAAAAGTACATATAACTGCGGCTAGGGCGCCTGAACTTGTAGCCATGACGTGCTTCACCAATTGTTGAAACCTAATACAAAACAATCTGCTTTTTTGCAAAGAAGTATATTTGATAAGCTTATAAGCAATTTCGATTACATGTAACAAAAAAAGTCATGAGTATAAATGTGGATGGATGGAGAGGGAGGGGGAGACCAAAGAAAATATGGATGGATTGTGTGAGAAGTGATATGGAAGACAGAGGAGTTAGCGATAGCGTGACGAGTGACAGGACAGAATGGAAGAAAAAAACATATTGCGCCTACCCCAAATAAAACAGGACAAGGGCAGGAAGATGATGATAAGCAATTTCGATTACAATATTAATTTACTGAACACACGCTGATTAGCTGAAGAGGATTGCTAAAAACGAGCAGGCTTATAGTCCAAGCTCGGGCTGAGATGGACGGACTGGTACTAGATAATATACATACCTGAATCTATAGTCCCGCATTCATTGACCTCGGTCTTAATTTCGGCTGATCGAAAGCAGATGTAAGGTCGAGGCTCGTTGCAGGATCTGTCTGCCATTTCACCATTAGCATTAAACGTGATGCAGTTTTCATTATTCCCAACATTATTTGGTTCGTTTTCTGCCCACGCTAATGAAATTTCACTTAAAGGTGTACCTGAAAATTTGAAAAATACCATTTTTGTGAGAGACAAACAAAGTTGGCACAAAATTGTTGTTTCACGTACCGACGACCTGCTGCTGATTATATTATTTTTGCACAGCGTCTTTTTGTCGCTAAATTGAGTTTAATGAAGAAATATGTATGTACCTAGGATATTGTGCTCTAGGCGGTGATGTGAGACATATTCGCAGCGTGACTGCCAGCCTCTTTTTTTGTGAGGGGTAAATCATCAAATGACTTCTCCGACCCAGGTTTGGATGGGAGCCCACTGACTATTGTGACTGACTGCTGTCATATTCTTACTGACTAAAAACCCCCGTCAACCACTGTCAGCCCACCTGGGCCTCGAGTCTGCTATTACAATTGTGTCAGAATAGTAGATCATTGGTTTCAAAATTGTTGATTTTGACAAGTTTGGTAATCTACTAACACGATAGCGTCATTGTGACTTTCCAATGCCACTTCATTTAAATAATTCTTTAGAACGGTAATCTCGTACATAATGACAAATGAATATTTGACATAATGTGGTAAACTCAGAATACAGAACATCTGTATTCTGAGGTGGTAAATTAATAAAAAAATGACCGTTTCCATTATTCAATGATTTACGTATAGAATATGAATGTGCAGTTATTGTTTCTATATCACAGACAGAGACACTGGAATCGTGTAGGAATGTCAACACTTTGAAAATAGTAGACTCGGGCCCCTGGATATTACAATAGCAATCGGCTCACTACCCACTACTTTTATTTTCCTACTTATGTCATTTTGATATCCATTGCATCGTCACCTATAAACTGTTTCAACGACTACATCGTGTGATGTAACAAATATTAATGACAGAAAAAGCAATCAGGGGCAGGTTTTGTGAAAAAGACCATCTATAGCATCACCCGGTGTAGCCCATACGTTAAAAAGCGTGGCTTTTGCGCGTGAATATAAATGATTGAATTTGTTTTAAAGGCAATATAATTAGAAAAAACCTTCAACTATGTTTACCTTCTATGCTGTAGAAGTTGCCTTGTGAAATAGTCGCGTGAAATCCAGTAAATATTTCTGATTCTGACGTGAAATAGATTTGTATGATGTGCTTCATCTCAGCTTCGATATTTGGATTAAGCGGAGAAGCCAGTGTTGCGCCTATTGGGAAGAAACATAAATAACAAGGTATTATATCTATGTATACTACATAATATTATAAAGACGTAAAATTTGTAAGTTTGTATGTAGGGGGTAATCTTTGGAACCGCTAGTCGGTTTCCCAAAATTCTTTCACTGATAGCTACAATGTTTCTGAGTGCTATAGGCTATACAACATCATGATACGAACAAATGGAGCTGAGCAGCGGGTGAAACCACGCGAGAGTAGCTAGTAATTATATAAAACAGGTAACAATGACCTTTTTTATGAATCACTACTCACGTTCTCTTTAAGTTTGAAATGAAATTCCTATAATAAAATTACGGATAGCTATATTGATATCCAAATAAAAGCACGAACAAGAAAAATATATTCTTCGACGCAGAGAAAAGATAGCTTGCTGAGCAGCAGACTTACCTTCCAACGAGCAGCGCAGTCGTGCATCAGCCCAAGTAGCTGGTATCACGAAATGTTTGAAAAAGCCCTCCGCTGTAGGGATATGTTTGTAATCACAACGAAATGCTGCCTCTATAATAACAGTCAAATTTAAATTATCAATAACATCATAAAGCTTCGAACGTTATACCAATCAAAGTTAAGTGGCATCTGTCCGCCGTCAGAACAGGTTCACTCTAATGTTCTTTCCTCAAAAGACCACAACAGAATAAACTTGCACGGCTCTCCTATTTTAATTTTACAATCTTCTGGACTTTAAGAGAGACTGTACTCAAAATTTGTTTTGGCATTTCTTTTGAGAGTACTTAGATAGAATATGTCCGCTTCATCGCTTCTCGGTCTTTTCTCGGTCTATCAAGATATTGCTTACCATCAGGTTTACCGACCCATCACATAAAAAAAAATTGAAGTGTAAAAGTGCTGTTTTATTATTTTATTTTGTTTCGTTGTAGAATCTGATTGTCGGTCGGTTTGAGTAACTGTCCCAAATAGCTGATCAGTGGTCACCATCATTTGGCCATGAACAGTCCATTAGCTGCATTTATGTCTGTAATACAATGCAGTCATTTAAATTTCTATAGAATTCTGCCCCTAAGTTGTGGAAATTCGCAAGTTATTCTTATATTCTAGAATTACAATAGAAATTAAGTATTTGTATTCTCATTCTGATTCAATTTCCGTATCTCACGTGGATTTGAAAAATGTGGCAGTAAAATAAGTAGAATATATTTATCTAAAAACCAAATAATAATTGTACGGTTCGTTTTGATTGCATTCCTATCACATACATAATTGGCAGTCAACAGCTGTGCGATTTACGCGAAACTTTCTGCTTCAAACAGCAAAAGTTTGAGATGATCTTCCGGCGACGGTATTTCCGAACCGATACGACCTTCAAACCTTCAAGAAGCGAGCGTACTCCTTCTTAAATAGCCGGCAACGCGCCTGTGACTCCTCTGGTGACACAAGTGTCCATGGACGGGGCTGATCACTTACCACCAAGTGAAGTGCCCGCTCGTCGGCCCCCTATTCCAAAAAAAAAAAAACAAAAATATGTAAACGTTCAGCCAAATAAGAGCCAAATAAGAGCCTATTTTCAGAATTACCACCAAACACATGAGAAAATATTTTTTAAATAAATTGAAATACGTCGTAAAAGTAGAAATCGTTACCTATATAGCAAAGCAGGTAGAATAACTCAATAACTGCATATTTCACACAAGTCGTCATGTTCTTGTGTAATACACGTCTTTATTTTATTTCAGCTTGACGGTGTTACGGATTGGGTAATGAAATAGCACAATTTTATGGCTAAATATAAAAAAGGCATTGGTCTTCAAACTTTTTGAAGACAAAAAAAAATTTGTCGTCCAATGACTTATTCTTCTTGAGGGAGTACCAGGCTATTTCTAACTAAAACCCCATTCCTAAAAGAGCTGAAGTTCTCTCTTCGATCTTTTTTTTTATGTACTAGATCGGCAAACGAGCAGACGGATTACCTGATGGTAAGCAATCAGCGCCGCCCATGGACACTCGCAACGGAGGAGTTACGAGCGCGTTGCCGACCTTTTAGGGATTAGGGATTTGGAGATTTAGGGATTGAGGAGGGATTGGGAAAGGAGAAGGATTGGGCCTCCGGTGACCTCACTCACACGGCGAAACACAACGCAGTGATTATTTCACGCCGGTTTTCTGTGAGGCCGTGATATCACTCCGGTATATTATTGCCCTTTACCGCATCTCGGCTGAATAAAATAGTAACAATGTGAGAGAAAGAAGATGGGCGACGCTGATTGCTTACCATCAGGTAAAAATATGACAGATGATTCACTAGGAAAGTCACAAAATTATAATCGCGTGAAACTGTGAGCTAATTAAGAGAAGCTAGCAAATAATATATTTGAGAAACTTTGTCTTAAAATTAGTGTTTATTTCAATAATAAAATATATTTTCTCGTCACAATACAATAGTTTATACGTTTCGTGCAATAAAATTGCACTAGTAGTAATACTATTTATATTATTTACTAGTTGATGCAGCGAAATTCGTACCGCCATAACACTACCTACTTCATTTTACATCTACATTTGTAGATGACATGACGATGATGCTTTGTGTGGGTAAATTCCTTAATCTGCTGTTCGTGTTTACGTCACTGACTACTGTCTAAAGTGCTGGTGAATATATATATATATATACTTTTTTATGTAATAGGTCGGCAAACGAGCAGACGGATTAGCTGATGGTAAGCAATCAGCGCCGCCCATGGACACTCGCAACGGAGGAGTTACGAGTGCGTTGCTGACCTTTAAGGGATTAGGGATTTGGAGATTTAGGGATTGAGGAGGGATTGGGGAAGGGGAAGGATTGGGCCTCCGGTAAAATATATTTTGTTTTTTGGTTAATAAAATTGTCTCTCTACCCCTAGAGCTCTTGTTTCAGTCTCTTAAAGAGAATAAAAAAATAATAAAAAGAATATGTATTTTAATTTGTTACCCTTTTAGTTCTGATGTATAATTTTCATTTAAAGTGACTGAAAAAAACAAAAAAAAAAAACTATAAACTTGCCTAAAAAAAAACGTGTGTCTTCCTGGGTTTCATTCGAGAACCAATTGCGAGAAGACCATGCCACTATCGCCTACGCCACAGCCGCTATTTCAAGCCTTGCGCAATCAGCGCCCATGTTATGCGTGAAATATTGCGAAAGAGATAACTCGAAAATACGCGCTTCATCAGACATATAACGAGATAGATGAGCTAGATTGATTTCTCGACCCCGAAAACCCCCACGTATCAAATTTCAGCGAAATTGTTAGGGCCGTTTCCGAGATCACGTGCTTTTTCAAGCAATCAACCAGGGCGCCACTTAAACGCATACAGAAAAAATCATTTACATTGGTCAATCCCTTTAGGAGGAGTTCAATTATATGCACATGAACAGCAGAATTACCTATATTGTATGAAGATAGAGGCTCAGGTCAATAATTCATACTGAACAGTATAGTAGAATGTGTATAGATGATTATCAAAAATAAACTAAAAAATACTAAAACAAAACAACAATTGAAAGAAAAGAACTGGATAATTATTTCCAGTGTTTGCACTCTTAAATGTGAGCGCGCGCGTGTTTGCGTGTGGTGTGTGTGTGTGTGTTTGTCTGTTTATGTGTGGAGTGCATGCGTTTTTGGATGTGTGCTCGAGCGTTTGTGTACGTGTGTGTGTGTGATAATAATCTAAAAATTTAATTATTATTCCGGTAGCTGTACCGGCATGAAACAGCATTGTGATTTGCCGTGTGAGTTAGGTTACGGGAGGCCTAATCCTTCCCCTTCCCTATCCCTCCGTAATTCCCTAAATCTCCAATGTCCTAATCCTCATAAGGACGGCAACGCACTCATAACGTTTCGGGTGTGGCACCGAATGCAGCAGGTAATCAGTCAATTGCCGACCTATCTCATAAAATGTCTGATTGTAAAAATAATATAGGTACCTAAAGGAGTTTAATTCACTAAAACCAAAGGAGCAAAATAACTTAAATATTACAGAAAATAAAAATAAAACACATAGAAAATCATAATTTTGTTAGTCCGAAAAATTTTGAGGCATTTTATGTCCATAATAATTGAAAAGCAGAACTATCATATCGCAGAAAAAACATTAATTGCTACATCTTTGTGATCAGGCGTTAATGAAATCATTTATTTTTAATGGGAGGTAGTTATTAGTAGTAGTAGTCAAATCATTTAATTGTGTTGCACAGGCATGCAGCACGCAAGCAAGTATGCAGCATGCAGCAAGCACGCTGTTTTGGCTAATTCATTTTTAGAATTTGGATTTCATTTATGATCACTCTTATTTGCAGATTACATTCTTCCTCTGACATGCATGGTAAACTACTAGTGGTTTTTTTTATGAGGGGGAAATCATTAAAATAAGTTCTTCCGTCTAGGGCGGGACGGGACGGGCGGAACGGAAGGTAGTGTCAGGCTGACTAAAAACCCCCCTGTTCCTTCTCCTGCTCTAGGCCAAGATCACAGTTTATCATTGCGCTTAACTCGTGACCCCGGCTGAACATCAGCCCTATAGGGGCCCGTCTGTGGTGGTCTATTGGCTCTTTGAGGCGCGCGCGGCACGCTGCGTGCCGTACGCTCGGGTCTGGTTCTGGTCGGGCGGCGAGCTACCCTTACTCGCTGTCCGCAGACCTACAGGTCGTGCCATCTAGTACAGAATTATCGGAACTCATATTGCAATCTTTAAATTTAAGTTTTTGTGCCTGTCCGTGATTGTGATCGTCGAGTTTTCTTTGGAACCGTTATATTACATAGAAAATCCATATTAAATTATGAAAAAATGACTTGTGCTTAGGCTGGGATCGAACTCGCAACCACGGTGGCTATGGCTCTGTTAACGCACAAAAATTAATGACTATAGTGAAATGGGTCTTGTGTATAGTAGATAAATTATTTGATTTCTCGTTTTGATATTTTTGAATTTACGGTCGAGGGATTTTGTGTTTACTGGTTTAATTCACTTTTATTCTTTAGTTTTTGGTTGTACTAATTGTAGTATTACGATGTTTTATTTTTTACAACATTTTTTTTGTTATTAATTACAACGGAAGAGAAATTACTCCACATTAAAATAGTTGATACTAGGCTTTTTTTGGTCGGCAAACAAGCAGGCGAATTATCTGATGGTAAGCAATCAGTGCCGCCCATGGACACCCGCAACATAGGAGTTACGAGTGCGTTGCCGACCATTTTACGAATTAGGGTATTGGATATTTAGGGATTAGGGGAGGGGAAGGATTGGGCCTCCGGTAACCTCAATCATACGGCGAAACACAACACTGTGGTTGTTTCACACCGGTTTTCTGTGAGGCCGTGGTATCAATCCGGTCGAGCCGACCCATTCGTGCCGAAGCATGGCTCTCCCACACTTTTAAATCTTAAGAGCTTGATTTAACATATTCATCAGGAAGAATGTTTCTACGAAGAGTTGATCTTAAGCAACAAAAGTTTCCAAAAGCTGATTTCTCAAATAGTTTGCTGTATATTTAGATTAAAAATAATAATTATTTCTTTTTTAATTACTTTAAAACTTTATATTACCTACTAAAATATCACTTCAATAACCCTTACTCGTACTGTTCTTATTTTGTGAGTGATCAACAAAGGAACCTTACAACTATTTTTGTATATTTTTCACAATAAGACAAAAGAAAATATGTCAAAATGTTTCTTCTGTGATCTGAGCATGTTAATTGAGCGAAACACTTTCTTTGTGTAGTCTAATGACTTTTCTAGCCCAGGGTATGGCGAGAGAGAGTGTCAGAGTTATACTTGACTAAACGCCCCTTTTGTTCCTTCTTCTATTCTGTATAGAAGTGGTTATACATAATAATGAATGGCACAATCGTGTTGAACATGACAAATTAGAACTTATGCTCCATGAATTGTTTTAAACTAAAGAAGTTACGTTTATTTAACAACTTATACAATTCGGACCTAAATTGTTTTTTATCTAATTGACATTGTAACTTATTGAATATTCGCACACACATCGCCAAACAGCTTTTATTATACTTAGTAAGTCTCGGAAAGTCATTCAGAATCTGAACCAGCCTATTTGGGTTTCGTCTGTTTCTCGGATTTACCATAGCTGCCATCTTAAAAGCCGAGAATGTGGTACCTTGCGATTGACTCGCAAACTCGACTAACCATCGGCCCTGTTTGGCTCCTTGTTGCAGGGGACGTATCACAGTGCAAGTGGCCCCGGGGTCACGAGAAAGAACGGGGTGATTTTTGCTCAGTAACAATCTGCCATGATCCAAACTGTTCGACCATATTTACGATCTAACTAACACATGTTTATAATATTAAGGTGAAGTATTGAATTACATGAATCAAAACATCTTACTAGGATTTGATCAAACAGTAAACAGTGCACGATTTCTAAACTTATTTCAAGCTAAACTAGTTTTCAATACTAAACAAAACAAGCGAAGTACCTAGCGTTTCCAACCTAATTACATAATTTACTTGTACATGTTATTAAAATTGCTTAAAAATGTACAACACGAGCGTTCCTGACTTCTGAAGTCTCAGTTGACCAAATTATGATGTAATTTTGGCAATGGTATTGCCTGACACCTCCATCCTAGACACCAGAAATCTGATGAAATGACAATGTACTGTGATGTCTTTCAATAGTCACTTTACTTAGACAATAGGAGGCAATCCACTGCTGAGCTGCCTCAGTACGAACACGGCAACGTCGTATAGATCGTAGATTTTTAATTGTTTCTAAGGGTTAAAGAGCAGATCACTTATGCCATTACAATCATCAATAACCTTGCAATATGTTTAGATAGAACAAAACTGTTTAGATTCTTCTGTAGTTCATAACCATCGTTCTTTAAAAATTTTTATATCATCGGAATACATAAAGATATTAATTGAATATAGAACAGAACAGTAAGACATAAAACTTGATAAAATATTTAAATAAAACTGGATCCAAAGGAGATCCTTGTGGCACGCCAGATGAGATACAACGTGATGTTGATTGAAATCCGTTTACCACTACAAAAACGGAACAATCCGCAAGACAGTAAATTAACCATGAAAGCACTGATCCAGTGATACCATATGCTTGTAATTTCTGTTATTAGTAGGTTATGTGAGACATTATCAAATACCTTACTGAAATCTGTATATATAACAATAGCTTGATGACATGCATCTATAGTTCCTGCCAATTGTTCTATAAACAAAGCCATATATTGCATTAAGTCTTCCTTTTGCACCTTTTTCTGCTATGTGTCCATTGAAGACTCCAATAAGATCCTAAATAAATAAATAAATAGCTTAAGATTTGTGCCTGTTGAACTCAATTTAACAAAACCATGTTTTGCTTTATTAAAGTACAAATTTAGATGGTTTTTTAATCCAGTGGCCATCACAACGGCTCCAAAGTGGTTTATGAAAGCCTCATCTACCATTAAACTATCACAAAGTTCACATCCCTTTAAGCCACTTACTGAGATGGACGTGATTGTTTGGACCATTGATTTCAGTGATTACCCAATAATTTGGAAGGATAGTTTGCCTCTGAGGTCGTTAAACTTTAGTCTTACAGTAAATGTGGGGACGATGATAAAATTTTAGTCAGTTTAATTAATCTAACAAGCAAGTAAGTACCAATGTTTTACAAATGAGTATATTCCAATTCCAAATATTTAACAGTATTTTCCATATTTGGCTTTAACTTTGAGGACCATAGCACGACTAACAATATATTATATAGCTATAAATGGGTGATACTATAAGCACTAATTTCATAACACTATTGAGTTCAAATTAAACAAAGACGTGTGTTACCCAACAACATGAAGACTGGTGTAAAATATTCTGCTATATGGTTTTTCTTTCTATTCTGCTATATAGGTAACCTATACTGCTTTTCGAATTTAAATGTTAAAATTTTATTTCAAATATATGTTCTGGTAACAACGTATACTTCTTTGCTGACAACTAAAAAAATATCTTTTTGTTTTATATGGCAATCGTTTAAAAACGAGAACATAAATACTCCATCAAATTAAATTTACATAGCATATAAATTATTGGTTACCAATTCATAGAAAAAATTGTTTTATTAATCTTACGACTTTAGTGTCAGCCTAAGAATCACTCCGTCGTATGCATTAAAATTTTGTCGTAGGCCGACTAAATTTAAATACAGAAAGAATACCCAAAGATCTTGATTAACGAAACGACCATAGTTCACCATGATATGGTCATCGAAGCCGCGTCTATCGCGATTTTCGTGAACACCGATCATCATCAGCCAGATATTTTTTCTTAACTTTTATTAGTTTCTTCTTCATCTTTGAAACTTGATTTTTAATGATTTTATTGGCTTTATCTTTAGAGGCAGCTTTTCGTTGCGACTACAGATATAGCACTGCAGCAAATGGCTGGTTGAAACATTACGTGATACCAGCTACTTGGGCTGATGCAAATCTGCGCTGCACCTTGCAAGGTAAGTTAGTTGGCTTTGCTTTTTTTTTGTATGGAAAATCATCACATGAATTCTATCGAAAAGCGTAGGGCGAGAGGGAGTGTCAAACTCGTTACTAATAAAAATGTCCCATTCCGTCTCTTGTGTTAGGCGGAAGATGAGGACGACGTGGTTCCTCTCAAAAAAACTCCACATACATACATAGATATCCAAAATGCTTCCGTCGCACTATATTAAATTTCCCCTCATTCATTCCAGTATTTGAGCAACATTATTAATTCGATTTCTGAACAAATTCTCCCTTAGAAATGTGAGATGTCTCAGTCTACTTTAGTACTTTGGTCTACTTTTAATAATTTTATATGTTGTTTTTTACAACAATTTGTGGATCACACAAAGTATTGTTCCGTTCGGAAATCGAATTGGCGACATGTTGCACGGCAGCCAGTTGCCCAGCCACCGCACCAACCGTGCAGTCAATGAATAAAATCTTGTGAACTTCAACGTCAGCTTCCTGCAACGTCAGCTTTCCTCCTCACCCCGTGATTTTTTGGCTTTGGCTGGAAACTTAGCTTCTGCACAACGTGTCGCTGGTTTAATTCCCGCAAGGAACAACACTTTGTGTGATCTACACATCACACACCTACGATACAAGAAAAAAACCTAGTGGAGGTACAGGTTTAAAATAATAAACAAACGATTGACTCTGAGTAAGGGCTTACCTATTAAATTAACTAAAAATCGCGGGTTACTCACGACGCGGCGACGTCGCGCAGCCTACTCCAGTAGGCTGCGCGACGTCGCCGCGCCGCGTCCGCGCACGCTGCTCATGAGGAAGACACCCTCTGTGGTTCGAAACTAGTAGAGCTTTTCTCAATATTTACACGTGAGTAACCCGCGATTTTTAGTTAATTTAGTATGTCTCACGATAGGCTTACCTATTATCTAAAATATAGAGACCCAGCGAGCCTCCTCTTGAAACCCCCATCAACCTCATGGTATCGGTTTTTTGTCGATGGAATGCCATCAAATTACTTCTTCCGTCTAGGGATAGGCAAAGAGAGTATCGGACTGATTAAATGCCACCGCATATTCCTCCCCTGCCGACACCGCACTCATGCCTCATGCCTGCCTTAAACATTGTTATCTATGATTTTCAAAATAGGTGCAAGACTAGCTTCTCCACTTAAAGTCGAAATGGAAACTGAAATGAAAAACATCATGCGAAAGTTCTTCACGTCTGAATCGGAAGTCTTTACTGGATTCCACGCGACTTATTCACGAGGCAACTTCTACAGCACTGAAGGTATTGTTATACAAAACACTTTTTAATAACAACGTCTAATACTTGCTTTGAACTCAACACTGATTAACAAAGTATTTCAAACTCTCTAGAAAATACTGAACAGAAAGAAAATATTCACGGAAGTCAAACATTAATATACACGTGTTAAAGCCAAATGATGTGTCTTTCCGTATGGGATATGGCCCTATACTGGAATGATACTTCGGTTCTTTTTTTGTGATAGGACGGTAAACAAGCAGGTAGATTGCTTGATGGTAAGCAATCAGCGCCGTCCATACATAGCTCTCTTTACAATTGTACATTTTCCATGGGGTTTGCTGACTGGGCTTTTCCTAGTTTTTTGTGGCTTTAAGGCTCACGTTATTCTGTTTCCTGCATTAAATTTACCGATCGAAATGGAGGCTCGGAGATGTTCCTTCTTCCGGTGTTTTCATGGTTGTATCTACATTGGATCCTGATCTTGCAGAAGTTGCAGCAATTTTGGCGGGCTTGTTCCAATAAAGAATCAGCGCCGCCATTACAAGAACGTAGTAGTTACGAGTGCTTTGCCGACCTTATAAGGGTAAAAGATTACGATATTTAGGGATTAGGAGAGGGGAAGGTTTAACGGTAACCTGACTCACATGACGAAACACAACGTTCTGGTTGTTTCAAGCCGGTTTTCTGTGAGGTTGTGGTGTCAATCGGTCTCCACTGTTAAAAAACCGATGTGAGACAACATTTGTAATATGTGTAACTCATAAAAATATTATATTACGAATTTCCAGGTGTACCCCTAAGCAAAATGCACATAGCATGGGCAGAAAAGGAACCAAATAATGTTGGGAATAATGAAAACTGTATCACGTTAAATGTTAATGGTGAAATGGCAGATAGATCCTGTGACGAGCCTCGACCTTACATTTGTTTCCGATCAGCCGATATGAAGACCGAGGTCAACAAATGCGGGACTATAGATCCGGGTGGGCATGATTTTATATTATTCATACTTTTTTCCTGTATCGTGGATGCACTTTATAACATAGGAAGAGTGCGCATAACACCCTGACCCAAAATAACAATGTGTGTATTGTGCTGACACCAAAACTAAGTTTCAGGTTCTTCCTTACTAAAAACTACTGTGCTCCTTCTCCTATCATAATTCGGGCCGGTACGTAGCCCCAGCCGAAGTTTCTCAGTTTATCTATAAATAAAACGATATACTGCTATGGAAATATCCATATAATATCGTTTTTAAACCTGCACTTACAATTTCTAATTATGAGTTTTAAATCGCCTATCCACCTTGAGCAATCGTGGCAAGTAATGATCAATCAGACTCCGTTTAAGTAATATGCGGAAGGTGAGCATAAAATGATCTGTGGGTTATTTATCAATTCAAGCCAATCAATACACTTACACAAAATGGGCTACCGTTTAAAAAAATGCTAACGCCGCTGGACAACGCGTTAAGACGCGTTGTCCATAACCATGAGCGCTATGGTAAGCCATAGCGCTCAGGTTGAGAAGAAAGCAGCTATATTAAGTCTCAAGTGTAATACAATGCGATGGCTGCTATTGAAAAAATATTTCCCTATGCACGTATTCAAGGTTGTTTATTTCATTTCCAAAAGTCTTTATGGAGAAATTAATACTTAGTTTTAATTTTAATGCAGATATTGTTGATTATAGATTGTGTTTTTATTTTCTATCTATTACGAGTAAAACATATTTGACCTTTCTACTTCTATGCTCAAGTGTACTTTATCTTAACTGCATTTCATAAAAAACAATATGTGTGCGAATAGCCTACTACATATTCGTGAGAGTGTCGATTCGCACGCCAGTAAACGAAATTCGTGCGAATCGACTACAGAAAAAATAATATGTTTTAAAGGAGTCGATTCGCACGTTTCGTGCGAGTTAAATTCGTGCGAATCGTCCAATAAGCCATTTAATCACGTAACGTTCAAAAGTTTCTGTATGTAATTGAAATAAATGATTTTAAAAGTTTTCATTCTTTATTGGTTATGTTACGAAACCTGTCTGCATTTCAGAATACGAATTGGATGAAGCTACGGACACTTGCTATAAGTTCCACTCAGTGGCTCGAACATTCTCTGGCGCACACTTCGCGTGTTCTGCTGAAGGTGGTCATCTTGCCATAATCAAAAGCGATGCCGAAGCAGCGGTGCTGAAAAAAGTCTTCGCAAAATATCCTGTCGCTAAGATTTTGGGCTCTTTCAAGAAAGATGTCGCATTCGTTGGTTTCCACGGTTGGGCTGAATCCTCTGACTGGAGGACCATTCACGGTAAAACTCTCAATAAAAACAATATATTTGTTTTTGCAAATAAACCACATTACCTAACTTACTTTTACAATCAAAATTATTAATTTAAAAAAAAAAATAGATGAAGTTAGAAATTTTATAAAACCCATAGCAAGTATAGGCGTTGGTAAAGTTTCTTCATTCTTCTGAGAATTATAAAAAACATAAGATAGTTTACGTCCCACTTTTTGTTTGCTGAACTTGAAGGTCAAACAATACGACTATTATACCAAATTATCATTATTTTCAGGTCAAACGCTACAAGAGGCAGGGTACAGCAAATTTGCTTCTGGAGAACCAAGTAATTCCACAACGGGAGAATTCTGTGGTGGCATATGCCGAAGCGCTTTGTTGAACGACCTCGCCTGTGAGAAACCCATTGCATTTATCTGTCAAAAAAAGCGTGACTTTCCACCTGTTTGTTAGACATAGACCATACTAAATCAATCCATTTTAGCTTTCTATTCCTATTTTTTTAATGTAGTGTCATATATAAATACTATGTACAAATAAATATTTGTACTGTAGAATTTTTTATTAGTAATGATAACAAAATGTAGTTATGTATTATATGTATAAGAATTAAAATCGTAGTGTTTATTTTCTGGTTTTTCATTTTTATACGATATATTTATTTTATCATGAACTGTCAGACATGAAATAAATTTATTGCATATGACTATTCACACAATGACGTGAATTAAATTAGAAACATTCTAAAAGTTTCAAGTAACAAGAAGACTTATTCATGATCAGCGTGCGCGCGTTGTGGGGGGACGTCCACGCTTTGAATATTCATTGTAACATTGTACCATTGTACGCGTTGCTTTTTATGTTATTGAACTGTTGCAGTAACGCCGTAGTGCAGCCTGAACATTACAGAATGACATAAAGACAGAAATATGTTCAATGGCTATCCAGACAATGATGGGCCGCTGGCCACTGGTCGCTTTTTTTTATTATTTAATAAGTCGGCAAACGGGCAGACGGATTACCTGATGGTAAGCAATCAGCGCCGCCCATGGACACTCGCAACGGAGTTACGAGTGCGTTGCCGGCCTTTTAGGGATTAGGGATTTGGAGATTTAAGGATTTAGGAGGGATTGGGGGAGGGGAAGGATTGGGCCTCCGGTAACCTCACTCACACGGCGAAATACATCGCTGTGGTTATTTCACGCCGGTTTTCTGTGAGGCCGTGGTATCACTCCGGTCGAGCCGACCCATTCGTGCCTATCATGAACTTTGCCTCAAGTGTGTTCACCATCGGGATCGAAAATTTTCTAAGGACGCATCCAATCTTGTCTGTCACACCATTAATATACATGCATGAAGGCAGGTTGTCTGCTCACGTTTCGATGTCTGGCCCTCTTTAGCGGTCGCAATAGTCGCCCATTACCTTAGTACATCCGTTTTTTTTAAGTACTTCCTGAACATGGTCTAGCTCTTGCCTCAAATATTCAGGGTCACAGAGATCATAAGCTCTGTTCTTTAGTGATGTCGGTTATTTTAATGTCCAAGAAGAAGATATCGATCTTTAGGTCTGCTTGCGACCACGACCTGCGCAACCAGATGGAAACGTCACACCTACCAACAATGTATTTAAATAATTAATTTTCGCGTTAATACCCGCTTAATTATCTATTGTAGAATAGTAGTCTATTAGTCTGTTCGCCAGTGAAGCCAGGTGCTCAATTCAAATTGTAGATTCGAACGGAGAAGAACGAGAAAAAATAATACATTATAATCCTGTATTTTCTATTACTTGTTATAATCTGTACATATAATAAAACAGTTAAAATATTTTTGACGTAATTACCTTTGGATTTTTAACTGCAATAGATATATTTTAGAAGTACTTTTCGATTTTTTTGTCTGTCTGACTGTATGTATGATCACGTTTTTCTCCGAAAGTTCTGAACCGATTTGCTTAAAACTTTCACTATTTGCTTTGTTTTAACTCAAAATAATATCTATGAAGCCTTTGTACATAAAAATAGGTTCATTAAAAAAAGTAATGGTCATTTTAATGAACTCAAGGCATGGTAATATTGCAAATCATAATGTACACAATTCTTAAAAAAGTTAGAAACATGGGACAATTTAAATCTCAAGAAAATTCATAATTATTTTATAATACATACATAAGATTACATCTTTATCCCCTGCGGGGTGGACATAGCCACAGGTTATAAGACCCCAAAGGCCAGATTTAGCATGTGTATGGGCAATCAACCAAAATATGTTGAAACAAAACCAGTTTTTTTCAAAATCCATACTATACTGGCAAGCTAAATTTAATACATTTTGTTTTTTTCTCGATAAGTTCTAAATTATTGACTGTAAACACGAGCTGTTTACTTCGTCAAAATTATTAGCACGTCGACCTATTTTAAAGACGACTTCTAGACTGTAAGTGCCCAATTGAATTATATAATAGTGTTTAATAATTTTTTCGTGAAGTTTACAAAAAGTCAAAAATACAAATAGCTGTAAGTAGGTACGTAACAATAGAAAAAATAAGCCATGGATTACTGAGTCGTTTAGAAAAAAATATACCAGAGATTCAAAAATGGAAATCGCTTTCGAATTATGATTTTAAGATATCAATACAGAAAGCATAGATTCCCAAAATATGTAATGTATTTTATTTTATATTACAAAGTCAAAGTCAAAGTCAAAGTCAAAATCATTTATTTCAATTAGACCCATACGGGCACTTTTGAACGTCAACACAACTTTAAAGATACAAAGTGTCAGTCTGTCGGTCTGTCCTCTAGTGAAGCTATTCGCTCGTTCCGAAGTGTAGATTCCGATGGAGAAGAACGAGCTAGAAACTCCATGGTTACTCTTTTAAAATCAGTGTCCCATAAACATTATTTGATACATTATTTAGTTAGTTTGAATATGTGAGAACAGTGTAACGCGTGTATACAGAGAAACATAAAAAGAAAATAACCTTAAGGACAATAGACAGTCCGGAGCTGACCAGTCCCAATTGACGGCGCCCGTACGAATTAAATTTTAATTGAAATAAGTTAAAATGAATTAAAATTTAATTAAAATAAATTGTATAATTAAAATTTAAATTAATGCATTCAAATGGAATGGATTCAACTGGATTGTATATAATAACTATTTATGTACTTAAGTGTAATATTTTTGCAAAATTAATAATTTGTTAACACGGTGGCTACGTCTGCCAACAATGTAGCAACGCCTGCTATGCAGTTTGGCAAACGTATAAAATGTATGTAAAATTGTCGTAAAAACCAATAAAGCATTTATTATCATGATAACTCTGTCTTTACTAATCACGGGACCTGGAGCCAGCTGCGCGGTGGCCGTAAAGACAACTTAAATCTAAATAATATGGGACATAAACCGGTGACTATCTCTATATGCACTAGGTATGCAATTGCACCCAAGGATAGTCCCCGGTTAGTGTAGGACTGTTGTGGACGTAGAGGATAATGAAAACAAAGAACAAGGCTATGGATTATACTTTGTTTTCCACAAGGCCGTGGAAACGAAGTACAATATTATTAAGGTTGTTATGGACTGGTATTAGGTACCGGTAATAGGAACTATGGAAGGACTATGGCACCTGCCGAAACAATGTAATTTATACACGTAAAAATGGCAGGTGGAGACTCGCCAACTCACCGACCGGGCCCCCGGGAATTGTTACTAGTAATAGCAACAGAGGGACAACGGAAATGTGAGTGGCTAAAGGGTGAAGAAACTGCCACCAGCTTTCTACTCAGATCATCTGCATCTGCCTAATCATCCTGCATCACTGGCCCACTCGCCGCTTACGCAACAACAGCTTCCACCCTCCGAGCAGGATCACTACTCTCGCGACTCCAATCTGGACGGCCAATGAAGGCAAGCCAGAGGTGGGAGACCTGTTCCTCGTCATCGTTCAGTCCAGCCAGCCAATAAAGGCAAGCCGGAGATAAGGAACGGTGACTTCTCCCTGGAGCAATCGAGATGACGGTAGCCCGCGGGATCGCTAATTTCCGTCACCTAGCCTCAGGCGACTCCGTCTCGGACATAAGTACAAGAAAGAAAACTATGATTTACGAATTAAACATTATAAAATATGCAGTACATTTTGCAGCATACATGACGGTGGCGGTGAAAACTAGTTAGATAATTCTCAGTATTTTTTCACCGACACCGTCATTATGAAATATTAATGGTGTTGTAAAGTTTCGACCATTCAGGCGACACCTTCGTGCAGTGCCTAATCACATCACGCCCACAGCCGGTGACGGTAAGATGACCACAACGAAAACAATTATTAGGCACTATGATTAAGCACACGCTGTGTGTGGATGCGTTTGTCCCGAACAGCATAGACTTGTGTCATCAAAATTATATAGTTTCAAGTAAATGTCGTGATACAGAACAAACTGTACGACGGTATTTACACTCTAGCTAGCACATGTTTATAATTTCTAGGTTTAGTATAGAATTACACGAATCAAAATATGTTACTGGGTAATTGACCAAACAGTAAACAATTCACGATTTCTAAACTAATTTCAAGCTAAACTAGTGTTTAATTGTAATTTAGCGAAACGTTTCTGCACTGATATACTAATTATGCGCGATGGAGCGGGCTATGCTCGGAATCTCTTTGCGCGACAAAATCCAAAATGTGGAAATTCGCCAAAGAACCAAAGTCACCGACATAGCTCGTAAAATCTACAAGCTAAAGTGGCAATGGGCACGCCCCGTCGCTCGAAAGACAAACGGCCGATGGACCCGAAAGGTGGTAGAGTGGCGACCGGAAACCGTAGTGTGGGCAGGCCGCCCGCTAGGTGGACCGACGACATCGTCAGAGTCGCGGAGAGCTAATGGATGCAGGTGGCAACTTGTCTTCAACGTGAAGAGCTAAGGGGGAGGCCTTTGTCCAGCAGTGGACGTCTGTCGGCTGATGATGATGATGATACTAATTATATTTTAACGAGTAATAGGAATAGCTTTTAGATGTACAGCACGATTGTTCCTGACCTTTGAGGCCTCAGGTGACCAAATTACTGAAGTTTGACACGTAGCTCAGCAATGATATTGTCTCACACATCCATCTTGAACTGCAATTTAGTCGTATTTGCTTTCTGTGACGTCTTTTAGTGCTTAGTTTCATTACATCGACGTTATACGCGTTGCCATGCCACACTCCAGTACTTTTTCTGTTGATAGTGATGATGCAGATGATTTTATAGATGCAAAAACTTTATTAGGTTATTATATACTTATATATACCTACCTACTTATTTTTACATTGCAGCTTCTTCGTCAAAAGGAACTTCGTCAAACAAAGGGCCTACAACTGCCGTGTCTCTTTGCTTGATGGTTATTCTCAGGTTGCAATTGGTTGTTCTCATCAGCATGATTATAGTTAGAAGTACGTCCTTGGCATGAGTTTATCGAGCGGCCATTACAACAACTCCAAAGTGGTTTATGAAAGCCTCATCTCCCATTAGTTTATGACAACGTTTACGTCCGTTCACGCCATTTATTAAGATGAACTCTATTGTTTGGACCATTGGTTTTGGCAATCCCCCAATAACTTATACTGACAGTTTGCCTCTGAGGTTGTTTGGTTCTATAGTTCCTGTAGTAACGTTATAATCGTTCGTTCATTTCAAATCGATCCAATATACAAATTGTTTTGTCGTCTTAAAGACAGTTCGATTAAATCGACGATACGACTGAAATTCCTAACGAGCAAAATATTTAGCAGTACCTATGTTAAATATTTAGCTTAAACTTTGAGGACCAATGTGCGACTGATAATATTATATTATTTAGCTATAAATGGGTGATATTATAAGCATAACACCATTGAGTTTAAATATACAAAGACGTGTGTTACCCAACAGCATGAAGACTGGTGTAAAATATTCAACTATCGGGCTATTCTGTCTATTTTGCTATACAGGTAAAATTGTCTGCTATTCCGATCGACTTATTGTTTTTAATTACGTATTGTGTTGTGTATGACTTTGCTTGCAACGTAACGAATATTTATGTTCTTTTTTTTGTAAAATATCCCAACCGATGTTATAAATGCTAAAGTAACTCTGTTTGTCTGTCTTTTCATCACGCCTAAACAACTGAACCTATTTGTGTGAAATTTGGTACAGATATAGTTTGGACCTTGAGCAAGGATATAGGTAATTTTTAAACCAAAAATCTGTAAGAAGTCACTTTTCCACACGAACAAAGTCACGGGCAAAAGCTAGTAGAATTATAGTCTATGAAATATAATGTGTAGATATGGCAATTGATTCAAATGACAACATTAATACTTCATCTTAATTTAAATTTACATAGAATATAAATCATACCTAATCAATAAATAGAAAATATTAACTTACTAAAATCTTACGACATGAAAAAGTCATCTATGGAATTGCTTCATTCTGTTAATCAAAATCTTGCTGGAAGCCGACATTATAGTACTGTGACAAGACTCAAAGGTCTCAATTATGGACATGGGGCACGGGTGACAATTTTATTATAGTGAAAACAGAACCGAGTTTATTTGTTTAATTATCGTTTATCTATACTACTGTTATAAAGAGGTAAAATTTGTATGTTGGTAAGTTTGTATGTAGGGGTAATATTTAGAACCGTGGGTCGGATTGCCAAAATTCTTTCACTGATAGATAGCTACAATGTTCCTGAGTGGTATAGGCTATAAAATATCACGCTACGCTAATGGAGCTAGGCAGCGGGTGAAGCCGCGCGAGAGTAGCTAGTTTGTAATTATTTTATTGGCTTTAGCTACAGAGGGAGAATTTCGTTGTGACTACAAATACAGCCCAGCAGTGAAGGGCTGGTTCAAACATTACGTGATACCAGCTACTTGGGCTGATGCAAATCTGCGCTGCACCTTGCAAGGTAAGTTTGTTAGCTTATCTGGGTAGATTTGCCTGAAAACATTGGATTAACAGTTCAGTCTTTATAAGTATCCGAAATACTTCCGTTGCACTATTTTATATTTCTCCTCGTTCATTCCAGGAATAAACCAAATTTTAACACGTTAAGCGCCGTGGGTGTCACCGGTGACCTCCGTTAGCGGAGGATTTGCTGATTTTTGGTTTTGACCGTCGACGCAGTGGCTGAACAACTGGCTGCTGCGCAACGTGTAGCGTGGAGGAACAACACTTTGTGTGATCCCAAATCATTTGTTTGGCTCTAAGTGGTTTACAAAACGCGTGGAGTAATGTGGAGAAAAGTTTGTTAAGCCTTTGACTGCCGAAAGAAAACTGTTGAAGGAAATCTCCTCCGCTAACGGAGGTCACCGGTGACCCCATGGTGTTTAACGTGTTAAATAAATAATCGATTTCGGGTAAAGGCGTACATTTACCAAACAGTCAGAGTCTCCATTTGATACACCCCATTAGGTTGATTGCGTTTCTCAAGATTTAGATCTCCACTTTTTTTCACGGCGGAGTATCATAAAATTTCTTGGTCTTTCTTGGGTGGGGCGAGAGGGAGGGTCAAATTCTTCCTGACTAAATGCCACCTTATAGTTCTCCCCTGCCTGTACCGCATTCATACCGGTCTAAAACTTTTTTTATCTATGATTATTAAACTAGGTGCAAAACTGGCTTCTCCACTTAACGTCGGTATTGAGACTGAGATGAAAAACATCGTACGAAACTTCATCAAGTCAGGATCAGAAATATTTACAGGACTTCACGCAACTTTTTCACGAGGCAACTTCTACAACATTGAAGGTATTACTTTACAAAAACTGTTTTTAATAACATGTTTAATACCAGCTTTGAACACAAGATAATAAAATATATAAAACAAATAATTTAAAAAAGTTAATCAATAAAAAAAAGAAATCATTAAATGTTCACATGTTAAAGCAATGAAGCATTCTTTACAAATGACATATACGGTCTGACACAAAAGCGATGTAAACCAAAGCTTGTGCCAACTTGGCTTGTGTCTGATCGTGTGAATTTAGCAACACATGGGATGCACTTTACAAGTGCTCCTTGGATTTTGCAAACGACAATAGGAATATATAAAAATTATCTTATGAAATTCTAGGCGAAGCTCTACAAGAAAATCAGTTAACTTGGACTGACAGCGAACCAAACAATGATGGGAATAATGAAACCTGTACCACGTTCAACGAATATGGCGAAATGGCAGACAGATCCTGTGACGAGCCTCGACCTTACATTTGTTTCCGATCAGCCGACAATAAGACCAAAATCAATGAATGCGGGACTATAGATCCAGGTGTGTTTATATTATTTAGTATCATGTTTCATTTTTTTCGAGTCGTAGTATATTCATAATATTGGAAATAACGCACCACAACAACTAATAAGCACTTTATACATCTGACCGAAATAAGTTAAACTGTACCGACGTACGACATACTAACGGCCTTAATATTACTCCGTTCTTTCTCCTGCACGTCAATTCTATAAAATGTGTTAGATTTTGAATCTTGTTCGAGTGTGAAGTGGGGGTCAAAGTGGCGGGGAAATTACATTTTAGAATGCCACTTTTAACCTCATCTCATACTTTCTCTATCAAAACGTTGCGGTCAATTTAGTTCAACTCGCAAGTGTAGCGCTAGTGTACTACTACTTACAGCGGATTCAGAATCGAAGTTAAGAATGAAGTATTACAGAACCACACTGCTGCTGTAAGTGAGAAATGGCATCCACATTGAGTAAGTAATACTCAATCGATCCCCGTTTGATAAGAAGCATTTGTTTAGCAGTGGGCATTTAAGGCAAAGATAGAATTTTAGATAGAAGTGATATGTCAATTGTTTCCTTCATTCATCCTAAATTCTGGTCAGTGTGTAATGTTAGGTCTTAAATGCTCAAAATTCCTCTGGTGCTGCGGATGTTCTCGCTTCATGAGCAGCTTCTGTTATTTTCCCGGCTTCTGGCTTGATGCAAATGCAACTTATACTTCAGCATCAAAAAATCATTTTGCCGCGATCACCCCTTCATTGTAGTTATTCCCTTCATCTACCCCGGTTAACGGGGCATGTGGAACCGGTGAGAGGTGTCGCGCGGTGTTTCACTGGAATGGGTTCTGGGACCGCTCTTGTGGAACATCGGGTTACGACAGGCACAAGCGGTTACGACAGTTGTTGCAAGGATCAAAGAAGGAAGGCAGTTGGGACTCGAGACGGCGCTCCACAAGTCCGAGGCCATGAGTTTTTATGGCCGTCGGGACACGCCACCACTGGATCGGTCCCAAATAACGACAGGAGGGGTTACCATAGGCGTCGAGTCGAGGATGAAGTACCTGGGTCTCGTCCTCGATAGCCGGTGGAACTTCACGGAGCATTTCCGTCGCTTGACTCCCAAGTTGGAACGGACTGCGGCGAAGTGGCTCCCACTTGAACACGGCCGCAGTCTGTTCCCAACCGGACTTGTATGATGATGATGGCGACCAACTTATACGCAGGTCGCGTCCCAGTGGGTCATGGCCATCCGTATAATCCGCGGCTACCACACGTTCTCCAGGGGCGCGGCGAACCTCCTTGGTGGATCACCGCCATGGGATCTAGAAGCGAAGGCGCTAGCGCGCGTCTACAGTTTGCGCGCAGACGCGCATCGCGGGGGCGAGGATCCGCTAGCGGAATGAGCTCTGGCGCAATCTCATGGCAGAGTGAAAGCAAACGTCTGTCGCAAACGATGGCTGGGCACTCTGTTATAGCAGCGCTAAGACCCCTCTTTGAGAAGTGGCTTGAGAGACGCCACGGCGTCCTCACCTTCCGCCTAACGCAGGTTCTTACCGGGCACGGCAGCTTCGGTAGGTTTCTGTTTTGGATCCAGCGGGAGGAAACACCCGAGTATCGACATTGTGACCACCTAGAAGATACTGCACGTGCCTTGCCTGGGCTTAGCACTGCCGTATCCTCAGGGAAGTGCTAAGTGGCGGCGACCTCTCGCGCCCGGCCTTAGTCGAGGCCATGGTGCGGAGCGATAGGAACTGACACGCCATCTCATCCTTCTGTAAAAGCTGTAATGCTCGCAAAGAGTTAGGCGGACCGCGTGAGGGAGCAGGCGACAATCCGGGCGTCGGGGATCGAGAGGCGATCTCCGCCCACCGTAAGCGCGGGTTTGCGGACGGCGAGTAAGGGTAGCTCACTACCCGACCTGTTTTCATCCGACCATTCAGCGCAGCGTTCCGCGCGCGCCTCGATGAGCCAATAGATCACCACAGACGGGGCCTTAAAGGCCTGATATTCAGCCAGGGTTGCGGGGTAAGCGCAATGAGGCACCGCGACATCGGCCCAGAGTAGGAGAAGGAACGAGGTTTTTAGTCTGTAAGAGTCTGACACTAATGGGCGGGAGAAGTCATTCGATGATGTTCGCCTCACAAAAATGAAATGTAGCTATTCCAGCTTAGGAACACTTACTAGGTAGTTCGCTGTCATTCTTGCAAACTTTTATTGCAAATACTAAATAACACAACACTTAGCTGTTTCACTGACTTGAGCATATCCAGCTCGCCAGCAACGTGCTCTTAATTCCTTTGGTGTTACGGGTGTCCATAGACGTGAGATAATCCGTCTGCTCGTTTGCCGACTAATTCCATAAAAAGCAAATAGAACAAAACAGTTGGCCAAGGCTAATCAACTGGCAACTGGTCAAGCGGGCTGGCCGACAGACAAACACTTTATCTTTAAGATTTATTTGACGTTCAAAAGTGTCTATAATGGTCTAACTGAAACTAATGATTTTGACCTTAGACTTTTGTTTTTTTATGGTCATGTCTTTACCAATCACGGGACCACAGGGTTCCGGTCATTTGGAAGGCGTACGAGGGGCCGGAGCCAACTTCGCAGAGACCCTTTAGACAACTTTAATCTACTTATATGAAATGGAACACAAACCGGCGACTATCCCTGTATGCACTATAGAAATGCAACCAAGGACAGTCCCCAGTGGGACTATTGCGGATAATGGAAACAAGGGATAAGGCTATGGGTGTGGGTTGTTATGGACTGGTATGATGGGAACTATGGAAGGACTATGGCACCTGCCGAAACAATGTAATGTATACATGTAAAAATGGCAGGCGGAGACTCGCCAACTCACCGACCGGGCCCCCGGGAATTGTTGCTAGTAATAGCAACAGAGGGACAACGGAAATGTGAGTGGCTGAAGGGTGAAGAAACTGCCACCAGCTTTCTACTCAGATCATCTGCATCTGCCTAAGCATCCTGCATCACTGGCCCACTCGCCGCTTACGAACAGCTTACACCCTCCGAGCAGGATCACTACTCTCGCGACTCCACTCTGGCGGCCAATGAAGGCAAGCCAGAGGCGGGAGACCTGTTCCTCATCATCGTTCACTCCGACCAGCCAATGAAGGCAAGCCGGAGATGAGGAACGGTGACTCCTCCCTCGAGCAATCGGGATGATGGTAGCCCACGGGATCGCTAATTCCCGTCACCTCGCCTCAAGGTGTCCTGCGGCTTGTTATTATTATTATTATTTGTAGACAGGCAGGCAGTTGAAACAACTGATAATGCCCGCATCCTGTTAATTTCCACTAGTTCATTTCTTGCAGTTGAGTAAATATTTATCCAGTCGATTTTTAAATTAGTTCAAATTTAGGGCTGAAACCACATTTTCCGGGAGCTTGTTCCACGCTGCAACTACTCTATTACTGAGAAAGTGTCTGTGAGGATTGTTATGTGATCTGTTTTTTTTTTACTACGTAAATCGTACCAAAAAGTATTGGACAATAGATTTTTTGTTACATTTGTTAGGTACATTACTAAACAACGACTTGTTACATCTCAAAACCTGTCTTCATTTCAGAATATGAATTAGATCGAAGTACGAACTCGTGTTATAAGTTCCACACAGTGGCTCGAACGTTTGCTGGGGCGCACTTTGCGTGTTCTGCTGAAGGTGGTTATCTTACCATAATAAACACGGATGGCGAAGCTACGGTACTCGACAAACTCTTCGCAAAATATCCTGATAGCAAGTTGTTGGGCCCTTTCTCTAAAGGCTTGGCATCCGTTGGTGCCTACAGCTGGGATGAAGCCGCTGACTGGAGAACAATTCACGGTAAAACTCTTAATGAAAAAAAAAAAATAAAAATGTTCAGTTTCACTACAAAATATTGGATGAGTCACAACCGAGAAAACTCCGTAGAGGAACACTCTACGGAATTTCCTAGGTTGTGACTCGTCGATAGCCGCACAACGAAGGTCATTGTGTTATTTATTTGCATCTCTAATGCGTGTGCATTTATTTGGACGAGAGGGACAAACTGCATGCTTCAAAACTCATATTTTTTGGAAAACTAAACGTTTTTCCTTTACTATAGTTAATACTCCATATTTTTTTTTGCTCGACCTTAAAGTCAAACAATGCGATCATTCTATCCAAATTTTCATTAATTTTAGGTCAAACGCTGGAAGAGGCTGGGTACAGCAAATTCAGACCTGGACAACCAAATAATATCGGCTCAGTAGGAGAATTCTGTTTAGCCATAGACCGAGATGCTTTGTTCCACGACATCACATGTCACGGGCTAGGACCATTTATTTGTGAAAAAAAACCTGACTATCCACCTGTTTGTTCTCCATTAAAGAATCAATATAAATATGAAGTTTAATCTTAAAATACTATACATAGAAAATGTTTAAACAATCTCTTCACATTACAGTGTATAATCTCAAAAGCTTTTCACATTATAGAATGTATTAAAGTCTCACGTATTTGAAATAAAATCTCTTTGGCTAACTATTTGTCAGGCTGGTTTTTTGTATCATTAAAGTTAAAATTTTCAGGAACATAATTATATTTGGTTTTGTACTATCAGGACGAGTAAATCCAATTTATCAAAAAAAATATACATCGATACCTTCTGGAATTTAACTACGAACACAACAAAAAGTAAAAATGCAACACAAACCGAAAAAAATGCAATGTTTATGGACCTACTGCAGTGTCTGTGAGATTATCACAAATTTTCCTTAAGCGTAGTGATCAATCCGGAAATTTTGATGTCAAAATTGCACGTCACTATTACAAACACAATAGATGTCATTTTTGAATAAGTGGTGCAAGACACATTTCTAGTTACTGCCACAAAACAGGATAATCAAAAATAGTTTGGGACACAAAAAGCTCGATATTTGGTTACCTCACTGAAAGAAAGCAATGAATCGTTTACATATTTGTGTTTTTTTTTTTATTACGACGTATTGAAAGCGAACCCTTTTTGAAGCAGCTGATAACTGGTGATGAGAAGTGGATCACGTACGACATAAGCGTGCTAAAAAGGCTTTCTGAAGGTGGTGATAAAAGATGGTATGGGCAGTTCAAGGTTAACTGTGTTGGTTTTAGTTGACTTCTCCAACGGCTAGTTATACGAGTACGTACTCGTATTCTCTCACGTATAGATCTCTTGGATCCCTCGTTCCATCCGCCAATATAAGAAAGGCTAAAAACAAATTAATCGTTAAACGAAAGGTCGCGCAACGCTAAACACTATTTTATATATCGATTTTATGTATTCACATTAATCTGGATAGATATATATATATATATATATATATATATATATATATACAGCCATAAAGCGGTGATGCTGTGATAGACGGGACATGACACCACCGGTTTACATCCCCACAGCCGGATTAGTTCGGTTCAAGTTCATGACAACTGCAATCTTGAAACTGACAGTCAAGCTGTTCCTAAATCTGCCACTTTTGTTCTGCTGTCCACTGTGTACAATGACGAGGCGTGATTGTTTACCAAGCAAAAAAATACGAAAAATATTTTCCCGTATCTATAATTTTGTGATGTAAAAAGTAAGTGTGGGAGAGCCATGCCCAATCCTTCCCCCCCCCCCCAATCCCTCCTCAATCCCTAAACGTCGGCAACGCACTCGTAACTACTCCGTTGCGAATGTCCATGGGCGGCGCTGATTGCTTACCATCAGGTAATCCGTCCGTCTCGTTTGCCGATCGTTTACTTAAAAAAAAAGTAAGTCCTAGCAGGAGCAATATTGAAAAAATGTGTTTAAAAATTATAGCAATAATTTATTTTAACAGCACATCTTTTTCTAAGGCTAGCCAACAGTTATGTACACTGTAACATTTATAAGATACAAAAATATAAGAAATACATTTGTGAGTGCAATAACTATCCTAGTATTTACATAGAAAAAATCTTAAAATTAATAAATTAAATATAAAACGATGCGTTTTATACAAGTCTGATGGAAACAACATGGTGTGCCAACTTATTCGAGAACAAGTCGACTAAAATGAGGATAATGATGTGTTTGAAGACCAGCTTATCCAAGAGCCTTGGCTTGTCCAAGAACACCAATAGCTGGACCAGCCTTGATGATACCGTCTCGTACGTTACGGCCAACTTTTTCCTGTAAAATAGAAAGAGAATGAGAAATTGGCTGTAGATACGATGCAAAGGTGGATTAAATAGAGGTATTTCGCACCTCGAGTGTAAGTTTGGTTAAATGTTTAAACCTGGAACACTGTGATTTTTTTAAAACTGTAATATTTGGTGGATGTGATTTTGGCTACGATTCTTTTGCGCGGATTTATTTTCGTATAGGGACAATTGAAACCATCGAATGACTACTCCTGCCCTAGGCTAGAGAAACTGCCAATCTTTTAAAACTGTCTAAAAATCCCTTTATTTCTCCTATCATCTTTTAGGCTCTTTGGCAAATCATTATTATTAATATAGTAATTTTAAATCATCATCATCATCATCATCATCATCGTCCCATAAGTAACTGCTGAGCAAAAGCCTCTTCTCACACAGAAAAGGTTTGATAATTTAATTAATCACCATGCTAGCGCTAGGATTGGTTCAAAAGAATGATTAGAACATATCAGTTCAGGTTTTCTCACTATTTCTTTTCTTTACTATTTGTCAGCAGCGTCTAAATCAACTTACAAAAGTACATATAACTCAGCAAAAGTCATATTGGCACTAGCCACGTTTTGAACGCTCACCCTCAAGCTTGAGTAGCCCCTGCCTTAGCGTCTGGACCACTTTGACATGTGTGTGTTACATAATTTTATAATTGTATTATAAGTACTTACAATCTTCTTGAAGACCTTCCACCTGGGTTCCGGCGCGGCGCTGACGGCGCTCAGCGCGACCAGGCACGCGAACACGAACAGAAACACTCGGGAGAACTTCATCTTTATTATTATTTAAGTTTTAGAATGTTGAATCTCTTGCAAGCACTAGCGCTCGTATTCGAATGATATTCCTTAACTAGCACAGCATTTTATATACTATTTCTACCCAACATATTATTTGCAGTTCACAAACAAAACATCAGACGAATATAGACTCAATTTAAACGTGATAAGGATTGTTATGTTCGGTTTTGTGCTCGTTTGTGTCGATAACGGTGCATACTGTGTTGATTTTAGGGGACTCCCTATACTTCGAGCTGTATTAGGTCTCTGAACAAGTAAATATGAATCACTTGTCTGTGAAATGAGATATGACAGTTCATTTATTGACCTTAGAATAAATAATAAAAAAAAATTGTATGTCTGTATCTACTTATAACAACAAAGGTTCAGAGGTCAGAGTTTTCTGTTTGATACTGTGTGTGTTTCGGCTAGCTAGGCTAGCTTCAGCCGGGGTTGCGGGGTAAGCGCAATAAGGCACCGCGACCTCGGCCCAGAGCAGGAGAAGGAACAGGGGGGTTTTTAGTCAGTAAGAGTCTGACACTCCCTCCCGCCCGAGCCTGGGCGGGAGAAGTCATCTGATGAATTCCCCTCACAAAAAAAGCCATTTTTTTGTGCTAGCATATTGATCATTTGGTAGTAAGCAATCGATGCCACCCATTAAACCTCCAAGACCAAGTAGACTTAAAGTGTGGGAGAGCCAAGCTTCGGCATGAATAGCTCGGCTCGACCGGAGTGATACCACTAGACCGTTTTTTTATGTTGGTAATAGATCCGCAAACGAGTAGACGGATTACCTGATGGTAAGCAATCAGTGGAGTCCATGGACAACATAGGAGTTGCGAGTGCATTGCCGACTTTTAAGGGATTAAGGATTTGGAGATAAAGGGATCGGGGGAGGGGAATGATTGGGCCTAAGGTATCCTCTAGTAAGCAGATTGATCACCATCATTAGCAATCGATGTCACCCATTAAACCTCCAAGACCAAATGATTTACAAGTGCTTTGCTGTTTGTGGCTTCTTGGAGATTTGGGGAATCAGGAATGATGAAGCGGATTGGTCCTTCGCAAACCTTACATGGCGAAACGTAATGCAAACATAGTTTCACTTCGGTATTATAAGGCCTTGGTATTATTCCCTTCGTGCTTATTTTAACTTTATTGAAATATATTTAATCAAATGCATTTTGTTTTATATTTATTCCTTTAGTTAAAGCAACTATCAAGGGCCTAGGACTAGGGCCACTATTAAACTAAATAAATTACTATACCCGCCCCTCCCCCATTCCTTCTCCTGCCCCATACCGAAAGTCGTCATAGTTACACTATTTATAACTCAAAAACGGCTTAACCAATTGGCTAAATGGTAGGGAGGTAGCTAAGAACTGTCGGTGTTGCGGGTTAAGCGCAATGAGTCACCGCAGCTTCGGCCCAAAGCAGTAGAAGGAACGTGGGGGTCCACATCAGATTTTTAAAATCTGATCTCACCATTATTTAGCTTATTTTGCAGCACGAAGTCTAGATTTAGTAGCAAAATATATCACTAGTTATTTTAATGCAAAAAAGGGCTACTCAATCTAAACGTCTGAATTGAGGAGCCACCTGGAACTCGTTAAGTAAAAGATGAATATTTATGAAAATGTTGTATCATTTAGTAGCAATTTTGCATATTACCGTCTAAAAATTTAGCTTCTGTAGCGCTAAAATGAAAGAAAATACAATACTTTTAATATGGCTCCTCAATCTAAACTCAAGAGTTGAATTTCTATTGGATGTGAGCGATCAATTAATATATTCGACATATTTAGCAGGTGTTGTGTTTGTTTTTGCAGTATAGAAGTAACATAGTAAAACAGAATAAATTTTGTATATGGACGCATTTTCTTTGGCTCCTTAATCCTGACGTTCTTATTATATATGTTTATTCATTAGCAATCAGTAATACTTTTAAGCATTTATGTGTCAAGCTAATTTTTTCTTCGTGTCTCGTCCTACGGAAATGACCTTGAGTGAGTCATGTGGTTCGGGTCACTCCCCTACCGTAATTGTTCGCAACAGAATTCTCTTGCGATCTATAATTGCTCTTAACATTGTAAATGGTTTCATGTTTATAATTTTTTTTCTAAGAATGTAAACATAAGGTAAACATCGTAAGGAAACCTGGACTTATAATTTCTATTTATAAGTTTGAAATCGCCAACCCGCATTGAGCAAGCGTGGTGATTAATGCTCTAACCTTCTCCGTATGAGAAGAGGCCTTTGCTCAGCAGTGAGCACTTATAGGCTGATGATGATGATGAATAAATTTTATATTGATTTTTTTCAAATTTTTTATAAGTACGGTACGGCACCTCAAATATACTATGGAGCAACTTCGGATTTTTCCTTCACAAAAAAAGCCTTGGCATGAAGCAAGAGATGGAAGAGGGTGGAGAATTTTAGTCAAGTAAGAGTCTGACACTCCATCTTGCCTCACCCTGGGCGAAAGAGGATTACCACCCACACAAAAGACCGCACAAATCGGACCTTTATATTACACTAGCTACTCTCGCGCGGTTTCACCCGCTGCTCGGCTCCATTTTACCGTAGCGTGATGTTTTATATCCTATAGCGCTCAGGAACATTGTAGCTATCTATCAGTGAAAGAATTTTGGCAATCAGACCAGCGGTTCCAAAGATTACACCCTACATATAAACTTACAAATTTTACCTCTTTATAATATAAGTATAGATATAGAAGTATACATTAAAACTATTAATGCTATGCAATGCGATATCTATATTTTATAGATTGTTGCACAAAGTGACGAGCCAAAGCTTGTTTCAATACGTAATTGATATTTACTCATTCAAGACTAAAGAATTTACTACGATTCGTAGTAATGTTATAATTATTGTTACGATAGCTCGGGGTCGCCCCTTTAATAGCGCGTGTGGCTTTTGTATATTAAATATTTGATATGCCAATTTAATGATTCATAGACTACGTGTAAGTATTTGTATTTTTGCTTTTTACCTTTTTAATTTCAATAAGTGTGGGGGTGGCTCCCCCACACTTATTGAAATTAGCTTCGGCGCGAATGGGTCGGCTCGACAGGAGTGATACCATGGAGAAAACCGGCGTGAAACAACCAAAGCGTTGTGTTTCGCCGTGTGAGTGAGGTTACCGGAGCGGGGCCCAATCCCTCCCTATCCCTCATCCCTTTCTAATCCTTAAATATCCTAACCTTTATCCCTAAAAGGCGGGCAACGCACTCGACTATTCGACAACAACTCCTTTGATGTTGCGGGTGTCCATGGGCGGCGCTGAATGCTTACCATCAGGTAATACGACGGCTCGTTTGCCAACCGATATCATAAAAAAAAATTAGAATGAGGTGTCAAAGGCCCAACTAAATACTACTTAAATTCCTAATAGGCCACAAGAGATCGGCAACGCACTTGTAGTACACTACCGTCAACGTATCTTGGCGAGTCTGAAGTTAGCCGATTAGCTGCGCAGTACACAATATTGTTCCTAAAAGATCCATTGCGCAGACAAACGGCTAACTTCAGACTCGCCAAACTACGTCGGCCGTACTGTAACACCTTTTGTATTACGAGTGGCCATGGGTAGCGCCGATTACTTACTATATGGCAATCAGTCTGTACATTTGCCGTCCTATCTATACCTATCTATAGGTATATATCCTACTAATATTATAAACAGGTAAAATTTGTAAGTTTGCATGTTTGTAAGTTTGTAAGTTTGTAAGTTTGTAAGTTTATAAGGTTGTAAGTTTATAAGTTTGTAAGTTTATAAGTTTGTAAGTTTGTATGTAGGGGGTAATCTTTGGAACCGCTAGTCGGATTTACAAAATTCTTTCACTGATAGACAGCTACAATGTTCCTGAGTGCTATAGGCTATAAAACATCACGATACGATCAAATGGAGCCGAGGAGTGGGTGAAACTCTACGAGAGTAGCTAGTCAAATATAAATAAACGTTAGGTGATCCATCCGCATATTTGTCTCTTACTTCTTACGAAGTCTTTGTTGTATCTGTGACGACATCATCATATAAGTTGGTAGGAGCCTTTATCTTTATACTCCATTAACCCATTCCGGTTCTTCACCGCAAAACAAAAGATGAATCATTTCTCTTCAACACTTTATACATATGTCATATAGATAACAGCAGATCAAGCTTCTCCATTCTACCGAACAAAATTTCTCCTTCAGTTTGAAATGTAAAGTATAAAATCAATTGAACACTATGGATGTTTTGGTACATGTTAACTTGCACGCCTGGTGTTCAAATATTTAAACAAAGTTTACGAAAATGAGGAAAAAATTTTAAGATATGTATATTTTTTCACTTATTTACATTTTGTCTGCGATAACGTGTGGCGATAACTGTTCTAAATTTATTCAACTGCTTAGCTCATTTGTTTGGTGATAAGCGTTAAATGGTTCTTTCCCAAACATTGTAATCTCAATGTCAAAAATGTGATTGGATTGACGTTGAGGGGCTAAGGGGAACTCTCATCCGAGTGATGAGGAGAAGGCATAGGTTGTTTTTTATTATAATGAGTCTGATATTCCCCCTATGAGTCGTCCTATGAGTCGAAAGATGATCTCCGGCCATCGAAAGCGCGGGTCTGCGGACGGCGAGTAAGGGTAGCCCGCCGCCCGACCAGAAGTGGACCCTAACGTACGGCGCGTAGCGTTCCGCGCGCGCCTCGATGAACCAATAGACCACCACAGACGGGGCCCAATAGGGTTGATGTTCAGCCGGGGCTGCGGGGTAAGCGCAATGAGGCACCGCGACCTGGGCTCAGAGCAGGAGAAGGAACGGGGGGGTTTTAAGTCAGTAAGAGTCTGACACTGTCTCTCAGCCTCTGAGCGATGAAAGTTTATCTTTAATATAATCTATTTGGTTGGTTCAATTAAGATTGCTTTCAATTTTTAAGCCAAGGTATTTTTCACACTGTTTTTGTGTGAGCGGAATGTTATCAATAATTAATGGTCTACGCTCTGGGATCTTTTTGTTTTTAGCTTTAAATATAATATAATTTAAATAAAATATTAATAGAAATAGTAAATTACATTGGAACCACTCGAATCCAAATCCTCTTGAGCCTTTGAGATGATAAGCCAGTATCGTCGGCGAAGTATGAAGTTAAGTATGATGAGTAAATGCTGCAATCTCATTTATGTAAGTTAAGAATAACAGTGGCCCCAGTATGGATCCCTGGGGTACTCCGTATGTGACAGGTAGAGCACTACTTACAGCTTTATTTATCTTAACTATCTGTTGTCTGTAAGTTAAATAAGATTTTAGCATTTTGAGTGCGTTTCCTTGGATACCAGCATGCTTGAGCTTGTTTGAAAGTTAAGTATTGCTTACAGTATCGAATGCTTTTTCTAAATCAACGAATACACCCAATGTTTCTGCTATATTGTCTCTGATTTTTGCTACTTATCTAGTGTTGTAGCTATTGTGTTATTTTTTTAGGTCTAAATCCATATTGGCGATCTGATATGAAGTTAATGGAATAAAAATAAATCAGTAGGTGACTATGTATAAGTTTTTCTAATACTTTGGACATGACTGGCAGTACAAAGATCGGACGATAATTACCAGGGTCGGTCTTAAGTCTCATTACTAATCAAAAAGTCCATGATACAAATGTTTATTTGTACATAGTAGTTATACATGAATCTCATAAAAAAATCCGAAATACAAAGATAATAAAATGGATTGATTGGATATTGTCTGTCTTTTATGATTTTTCTCTAAAATTATATTGATTCTTTGATTGAGAACAAACAGGTGGATAGTCAGGTTTTTTTTCACAGATAAATGGAGTTGGTATCTCACATCTCAAGTCGTTGAACAAACCTCCTCGGGATATGGAACCACAGAATTCTCCCGTTGAAGCATTATTTGGTTCTCCAGGAGCAAATTTGCTATACCCTGCCTCTTTTAGCGTTTCGCCTGAAAGTAATTATAATTTGGTACAATACTTGTATTTTTTGACCTTCAGGTTGAGCAAAGAAATAATAGGACATAAACTATAGTATAGGAAAAACATTCAGTTTTCGAAAATACATGATTTTTGAAGCATGCAGTATAGCCCTGCCGTCCAAATAAGAGCACACACATTAGGGATGCAAATAAATTACACATCATATCCGAGGATAATCCGGGGAGGAACAAAATACGGGCCGAGTATGCGTGCTGCAAAAATCATCTACTTTGTACTGGAAACATCTAAAATCATCAAAGTTCTATTTAATAAGACTTTTCCCTATTATAGAAATCTGAATTTCATCTAGTTATTTTACAGTATTTTGACGTGTAAAAGTGCTGTTTTATTACTATTTTATTCACAAATATACATTTATTGTGTCATTAAGAGTTTTACCGTGAATGGTCCTCCAATCACTGGAGTCAGCCCAGCTGTGGAAACCAACCATTATGTAATTTTTATCATAAGGGCCTACTATCTTTTCAGGAGGGTATTTTGCGTAGAGTTCTTTAAGAACCGTAGCTTCCACATCACTCTTGATTATGGCAAGATGACCACCCTCAGCAGAACATGCGAAGTGCGCATCAGCGAACGTTCGGGACACTGTGTGCAGCTTATAGCAAGAGTTCGATCTTCGATCCCATTGGTATTCTGAAATAAAAAAGGTTTCTAGAAATACGTTAAGAACGATAAAACTACAGTTATAAACATTAATAACTGAATATGTCATACGTAATCACCTCATGCCACATTTACCTATCATCAAGTGCCCACTGTTGAACAAATGCGTTTTCCCACACGAGAAGGTTTGAGCATTAATCGCCACGCTTGCTCAAGGCGGAATGACGATTTCAAACTCAGAAATTATAAACCCATGTTTCCTCACGATAAAGGAGCAGGCGGAGCGCGTGAGGGAACTATCCTCCTCAAGCCTCAGCGCCGCAGTAGGCGACATTTCGGGCGTCGGGGGTCGAGAGATAACCTTCGTTTACTGTAGGCACGGGTCTGCAAATGGCGACCGTACGGCGCGTAGCGTTCTACGCGCGCCTCAAAGAGCCAATAGACCACCACAGACGGGGCTTATGGGGCTGGTGTTCAGCCGGGGTTGCGGGTTAATGCGCAATGAGTCAAAGCGGCCTCGGCCCAGAGCAGGAGAAAAAACAGGGGGGTTTTAGGTCGGTAAGAGTCTGACAATCTCTCTAGCCTTACCCTGGGTGGGAGAAGTCATTTGATGATTTTCCCTGACAAAAAAAGGTTTCCTCATGATGATTTCCTTCACCGTATGTCAGTGGTGTCTTAATGATAGTCACATTGGTAATTGCCAGGTTTCGAACTCGCACCCTCTTGCATGAGAAGCGGGCGCCTTAACCTCCGGGCCACTACGACGTTTACACGCCGACGCCATATTGAATTTTAACATTAAAGTCATTGTCAAAAAGTTGATTAATTTTCATTCTGTTTTTTAGTCCATAACTCTTCGTTTGTGTAACCATTTTAAAAGATATAGTTTTTTTTTATGTGAAACGAACAATTGCAAAAGAGCATACGGATAACCTGGTTTACCACCAGGTTGTCGTTATACTCGTGATTTCGTATGTTCGTAAATGCAGCCACGATTTAGGAGAAATCTTAAGCTATAATAAAATACCTTATACCTCTTGACTTTTTGTTTTGCCGTGAAAGTGTCGTTACCAGAGGCCCAACACCGCGACCTCAGCACAGAGCAGGAGAAGGAACAGGGGGTTTTTAGTCAGTAAGAGTCTGACACTCCCTCCTGCCCGGCCCTGGGCGAGAGAAGTCATTTGATGATTTTCCCCTGACAAAAAAAAAACCAGAGGCCCAATCTTTCCCCTCCCCATCTTCAAAACTCCTATTCTTACATCTCAAATAACTCACAACAGGTCGGCAACGCACTTGTAGTAACTCTTTTGGTATTACGAGTGTACATGGGCGGCGCTGATTGCTTACCGCCAGATAAGGCTCGTTTGATGACCTATGACATTAAAAAAATACACAAAACATCGGAAGTAAAATAACTTGAACTATCGTTGGTCGAGTAGAAAGTCGAGTCGCTTATTGGTTATTGGGCATTCTATTCCACTATCGGTAGCAAGGCGCACTCGCCGAGCGACTTGCCGATAGTGGAATAGAATGCCCCATAACATACTACTACGTGGCCTAGGTCTGCCATGATACGGACTAGTACTTAATATACAAACCTGAATCTATAGTCCCACATTCATTGGCTTCGGTCTCAACCTTGCCCGATCGGAAGCAGATGTAAGGTCGAGGCTCGTCACAGGATCTGTCAGCTATTTCACCATAAGCATTAAACGTGATACAGTTTTCATTATTACCAACATTATTTGGTTCATTTACGGCCCAAGGTGATCCAATTTCAGCAAGAGGTACACCTGGAATTTCATATACGTGTTTATGTTTCAAGCTTGGGAGAACCATGCTTCGGCATGAATGTGTCGGCTTCACTGGAGTGATACCACAGGGGCTCGCAGAAAACCATCGTGAAACAATCACAACTTTGTGTTTCGCCGTGTGAGTAAGGTTACCGGAGGCCCAATCTTTCCCCGCCCCCAATCCCTAAATATCCAAATCCCCAATCCCCAAAAGTTCGGCAATACATCCCTAACTCCTTTGTTGCGGGTCTCCATGAGCGGCGCTGTTTGCTTACCATCAGGTTGATGAAGTCACTCACACGATCAGCAAACCAAGCACAAGCATTTTAATGGTGTTTTGTCTGACTGTATTGACGATGCAAAGATTATCCGCACGTCTCTAGCGGCGAAATTTAGAAACTGTCTAAGAATGACACCTTTTTTGTTTATTTGTTGAAGTCATGTTAGATTATTGAGATAGATCATAATTATATACGAATATTGTTGCGCTCTTTAATGTAGTACTTACGGAGATACGATAAGTTTTAATTTATTCCTAAAAGGCAAAACTATGAAGAAAAATGGAAGAATGCTTTAAGAATAGGCTAGCCAATTTCACCATCAATGAGAGTTTGTTCTCATTATTTCAAGCAAAAAATTTTCCAAACACAATTATATTTTAATTGTTTTATTTTACATCAATTATATTTATATGTATTTCATAAGTTATTTATTTAGTTTTCACTAAGGCTAGTTTTTCGTCAGATAACGAAATTATGGTTATTATTCCAGATTCTAAAAGGAACAAGTTGTTTCCTTAGGTCATACCGTCTGAGATTATTCCTAAAATAAGCTCCGATAATGGAGTAACATTAGAGAAGAGCACTCAAATAAAATTTATTCCTATGTGAGAAGAAGAAAGATCAGCTTTAAAGCAATTGGGTAGTTTCCTAGGTCAAAAATAAATTATTTCGACGTTTCAATACAATAAAATATTGAAAAATAACTATACATTTATTCATCGATCGATCGATACACTAATTTTTAGATTATTTTTAGCTAATAATTAAGAAATAAGTAAGCTATTTGACGCAAAAAAGTTATGACGTCATAGCTCAGTTCTTCATACAAAATTCATAGATAAGTATCGTTTTTGACGTTTGGATAAAAGTATTGAATTTGACTAGTAGGAAACAACCGTATTAACCCTCTCAGATTTACTCAGTAGTGATATTCTGCATTTATTCACTTTGACGGGTATTCATTCATTACGATGCTGTCTCGTCAGAATGTTTGTGTAAGACAGTGACAGCAACAATTTTATTCCTCAGATAACATTTATCAGCCTATTGAGGCCCTTCATCTCATCTCATCTTCATCAGCCCTTAAACAGCAAAATGCAACTTAAATCAGAGAAAAAAAAAATATAAATAATATTTTTATTTATAATTTATTTTTTCCCTGATGTTAATTGTTAAAAAATCTGTCAAAGTACCGTTCTTAGACAGCTTCACAATTTTCACACCAGAGGCGCTAGTTAGCTGGTTAGTAGAATCTATGCATCGCCAATCGTCTCACTCCAGCAATGAGCTATCCCATTCGTAATCAGGCATGTCTTTTACGCGTGAATATAAATTATTGATTTATTTTCTAAATTTGTGTTAAAAGCAAGTATTAAATAAATATAAAATATTTTGTAAAACAATACCTTCAATACTATAAAAGTTGCCTCGAGAAATATTCGCGCTAAGTCCAGTAAAGATTTCTGTTTCTGACGTGATGAAGTTTCGTATGATGTTTATCATCTCAGTTTCAATGTCGAAGTTTAATGGAGAAGCCAGTTTTGCACCTAGTTTGATAATCATAGATTAAAATCTTTAATGCATGAGGGCGGTGTGGGCAGCGGAAAACAATTTTTTTGTGAGGCGAAAATCTTCAAGTCGCTTATTCCGACCATTAGTGTTAGATTCTTACTGACTAAAAACCCCCGTTTCTTCTCTTGCTCTGGGCTGAGGCTACGGTGTCTCATTGCGTTTGCCTCGCAACCCCTCCTGAACATCATCCTATAGGGCCCCGTCTGTGGTGGTCTATTGGGTCTCCAAGGCGTGCGTGGAAAGCTCCAACCCGTAACACGAGTCTGGTTCTGGTCGGGGTCTTACTCGTCGTCCGCAGACCCGCGCTTACGGTGGCCGGAGATCGTCTCTTGCGGGGAGAACCATGCGGTGGCATTTAGTCAGTAAAAATCTCACACTCCCTCTCACCTCGTCCAAGATGGGAGGAGTAATTGGATGATATTCCTTCATCAAAAAGCCGGTACCATTAGGTTGATACAAACAGACCCAGCAAGTCTCTTAATACGGGGGTATTAAGAGACTTGCTTGTAATATCATTCGAAATTAATCTTTTTATCTTCCCCTGCGCTAGAATTTTCTCCTGTGATACGACACAATAATTTATGGATCAGCCAAAGTGTTATTCCATGCATGAATCGAACCCGTGGGTCGTTGGCATCAGGCTCATATTCATGAGCAGCATTCCGCGACACATATAATGTATATATATGAATATAAGCCTCTAGCATGGCTTGAAACTAGTCGAGTCAAATAATTACGCGAGGAAATATAATACGAGTAAACTCCCAGCATTTTTCAAAGTCAGCTTTTTGCCTTCTTCTTTGCCTTTTTGTCTTTGGCTGTTGACGCTAACGAAACCGAAAACATAATCATTAATTTAGTATGTCTCACGAAAGTTATAATAAGAATATGCGGGAGTTTAGTCAATTATTAAAGTAGAATGAAGTGTCACACAAACTCCTAACTAACTGGGAAATTTATTTAGAAATCGAATAAAAATGTTGCTTTAATCCTGGAATAGATGAAGAGAAATATTAAACAGTTCATCGGAAGTATATTCGATACCTATGTATACATGTATAGACTGATCTGTTAAACCAACATTTTTCAGAGCGGAAACACCGTCTGTCGCAACCTAGGGCCGGGCACGCCCTTATAGTAGCGGTAGCCCGTCTTTGAACAGTTGCTTGAGAGACGCTACGGTGTCCTCACCTTCCGTCTAAAGCAGGAGATGGAACGGGGGTTCTGATACTCTCTCTCGCCATACTCTGTGCGAAAAATATTTGCAGGCCAAAGCTTCGGTTGGTGCGGTGCATGCAATGGTTCAATTCCCGCACGTAACAACACTTTGTGTAATCCACAATTTGTTGTTTCTGGGTGTGATGTGTATGTGAAATTTAGTGTTTGTAAACGCACTTACGACACAGGAGAAAATCGTAGTGCGGGGCTCTGTTTTATTTGAGAAAAAAAAACTATGCTAACAAACTTACCTTGTAAGGTGCAGCGTATTCGGGCCTCACCCCAAGTAGCTGGTATCACGTAATGTTTGAACCAGCCTTTCGCTACAGGGCTGTATTTGTAGTCACAACGAAATTCTGCCTCTGTAGCTAAAGAAAATTAAATAATTACTAACAAACTTTAGTAAGTTTAGAAAAATGTTTGACTCGGTTGGTTTAAAGAACAGAACTGTCAGCGATCGGTGTTCACAACCTCATCGATCGCAATAGACGCAGTGTGGATAATCATTTCATGGTGAACTATGATCGACTCCGTAATAAATGTCCTATTGTCGACCTACGACAAGATTTAAATGTGGGAGAGCCATGCTTTGGCAAGAATGGGTCGGCTCGAGCTGAGTGATACCACGGCCTCACAGAAAACCAGCGTGAAACAACCACAGCGTTGTGTTTCGCCGTGTGAGTGAGGTTACCGGAGGCCCAATCCTTCCCCACCCCCAATCCCTCCTCAATCCCTAAATCTCCAAATCCCTAATCCCTAAAAGGTCGGCAACGCACCCGTAACTCCTCCGTTGCGGGTGTCAATGGGCGGCACTGATTACTTACCATCAGGTAATCCGTCTGCTCGTTTGCCGATCTATTACATAAAAAAAAACACACAAGATGGACGAATTATTTGGCAGAGCCATCAAGTGGTAAGATTTTAGCAAGGGATTTGATAATCCAAACTAATATTATAAATTCGACAGTAACTCTGTCTGTCTGTCTTTTCTTCACGCCTAAACTACTGATCCGACTTCTGTGAAATTTGGTACAGGCATAGTATAGTTTTTATACCATAAATCTGCAGGAAGTACCTAACTATTCCAAGCGAACGAAGTCGCGGGTAAAAGCTAGTGTATAATAAATAATTCTTGTTTGAAACGATTACCATATAAGATCCTAATAATAAAACTTTTATTAATAGTTTGTATAAACAAAATAATATTTTAAAAAGCGAACGTATTCGTTACGGTGCAAGCAAAATAATATAGGTACATACGTTAGTAGTCACCGCACAATGTATTTAAAATTGATTTTAAAAACAATAATCCATCGCTATGGCAGAAAATTTTACCTATGTAGCAAAATAGACAAAATAACCCGATTACAGAATATTTTACACCAGTCTTCATGTTGTTGGGTGAAGCACGTCTTCATTTAATGTAAACTCAATGGTATTATGAAATGATGGTTTATAATATCACCCATTTATAGCCAATTAATATATCATCAGTCGTGCACTGGCCCTCAAAGTTGTAGCCAAATATTGATGAACATGCTTTTGAATATTTGGAATAAGAATTAGAATATTTTTTTTTTTGTATAATATAGACATTGGCACGTTACAATTTTCTTTCATGTCGATTTGATTAATCTTTTTTTATAGATAACAAACAGGTTCATTCATTTTAAATTAATACACGAATATGAAGAAATGACCTCAAAAGCAAACTGTCATTCCAAATTAATAAGGGAATACTGAAATCAATGGCTCGAACAATGGTGTCCATCTTAGTTAATGGTTTGAAGGGGTATGAACGTTGTCATAGACTAATGGTAGATGATCCTTTCATAGACCGCTTTGAAGCCGTTGTGATGGCCGCTCGATAAACTCAGTCCAGAGATGTACTTCTAATTAAAATCAAGCTGATGAAACCGATTAACTTGACCAAAACACTTATGCTAATTAGTGACATGATTGAGCTTTCGTTTATTGACGGTGAATACCTTTTCCGTCTCGTTAGCAATTGCTCTAAGCTTATCTCACTCATAAGCCAGGAATTCCTGTATATCCAGAGAAAATCTATGAATCTCAATACAGTTTACAGTGGCATATAATACTAGTCTGTCTCGAGCGTAAGATTCCTTGATACCAAAATATTAATTTTATTGATATGCGAAAGAAGGCTTCTAAGATTATTTAGACACCATTGACATACAGTGAAAGAAAAAATCGTAAGGAAACCTGGACCTATAATTTCTAATTATAAGTTTCAAGCAAGCAAGTGTTCATTACACTTAATATTCAAACCTTACTTAGCAGTGGGAATATAGTCTTTTTTCTTTTGAAAAAAAAAAACAACGTTGCCCTACACCAGGATTGTCTACTGTGTCGTGCAGTCATGAAATCAAATGCGCCAACCGTGCAATCAAGGCTGATGATGATAATGATGATGAAGAAAGAAGGCTGATCATCGACGTTGCTAGCTTCGTGCTGAGGCAGTTCAGTAAATTGCCTCCTGTTGTCTTCAATCACGGTGAAGTAACGAAGCTACTGCAATCCATCACAGAAAGCTGATACGACTATCTTTCAGTCCAGGATGGAGGTGTCAGACAATACCATTGCTGAGCTACGTGCCAGAATCCCATCGTTGCGTCACGCATGTTTTTTTTATAGTATAGGTCGCCAAATGAGCAGACGGACTACCTGATGGTAAGTAACAGCCGCCCATGGACACCCGCAACACCAAAGGACTTACGAGTTCGTTGCTGGCCTGTTAGGGATAAGGGTTTTGGATATTTAAGGATTGAGAAGGAATGGAAGGGGGGTTAGTATTTGGCTTTCAGCAGGTCTAGTAATTTAGTCACCTGAGGTCTCAAAGGTTAGGAACACCCGTGATGTACATCTTAAAGCTATTTCTATTGCCTCGAAGAGCCAATAGACCACCACAGACGGAGCCCTAAAGGGCTGATGTTCAGCCGGGGTTGCGGGGTAAACGCAATGAGGCACCGCGACCTCGGCCCAGAGCAGAAGAAGGAACAGGGGGGTTTTTAGTCAGTAAGAGTCTGATACTCCCCCCTACCCGGTCCTGGGCGGGAGATGTCATTTGATGATTTTCCCCTCCGCAAAAAAAAAAGCTATTTCTATTACTCGTAATACTATAATAGGTATTTTGACGCAGAAACGTTACGTAAATAATTAAATTAGAATTAAGAACTTGTATAACTTGAAATAAGTTTAGAAATCGTGAATTGTTTATTATTTGACCAATTGCCACGTAACATATTTTGATTCGTGTAATTCAATACTTAGCCTAGAAATTATAAACATGTGCTAGCTTGAGTGTAAATATCGTCGTAAAGTTTGGGTCGTGACACTTGAAATAACAAGACGACATAATTATATTTTTAATGTCATAGAACAGCATAAAATCAGACGGATTACCTGATGGTGAGCAATCAGTTCCGCCCATTGACACCTGCATCAACGAAAGAGTTACGAGTGACCATTTGGGGATTTAGGGATTTGGGGGGAGGAGGAGGAGGAGATAAGGCCTTCGGTAGCCTCACTCACACAGTGAAACAACGTAGGCGTTCTTTCACGCCGGCATTCTATGAGATCGTGGTAACACACATCACTTTTCGTGATGAAACATGATTTTGCCAAATATATTTCTTTTTCTTCTTTAAAAGAACGTTGCCCGACACTATGACTTTTTCCTTTTTCATGGGTGCGGTTGCAAACATATAATTTGAAATACACATCACACTCAAACCCGGAACAATAATTTATGGATCACACAAAGTGTTGTTCCGTGTGAGAATCGAACCCGCAACACGTTGCACAGTAGCCAGTTGTCTAGCCACCGCGCCAACCGTGCTTATTTTATACTACATAGTCACATACATATGACACCTTTTGGATGAAGCTGTAACAAGAGTTTGAAATGAAGGTCGTCAAGTGTAAAAGGTCTACTAAATACTCATTTTAAATACAATTAAATTTTGACACAATATACTATAGCTTTATTTAACTCTAAGGGCGGCTTGCGCATCGTCGTTAAATACAGTTTAAGAGCGACGTAAACGCATTTAGTCTGCTAATTATATTTAGCGTCTTGCACAACAAAAATTTAGGCACTAATCACGTTTAAATACCCAAAGATGGCTATTTAGCGTCGCTAAATACGTTTAGTACCTAGCAATCGCGCGTCATCATTTTGAGGTTAAAGGAATTTTACGATTATTTTAAGATTTTAAAGAGTTCGGTAGGAAGTTTGTAAGATGGATTTGTGGGAATTGTATTCTGACGACGATGAGGAGATTATAGAATATATCAACAATAGCACGAGACGCTTCACAAATCACAACAAAACTTTGAGTGACTTGACAGCTCGGTTGACTTGATGTGACAGTTGAAAGCTCGTCGGTCCATTTCACGATTTTTTTTTTAAGAAATGCATCCATTTTGCTCTAAATCAAGTGTACAACGCACGAAAACGTAAAAAGGAACGCAAGTAACTGCTTTACCGACTCCCTAACTACGATTAGTTAAATTACTATCCAAACGGACGTGAGCAAGACCTTTTTAATTGTATTTAGGCTAAACATATTTAGCAAGATAAACGCATTGAACTAAATTCTGTTTAGAGCACATGTTGCGCAAGCCGCCCTAAATCGCGTAGTTCTCGTATTGTATGCATAAGGTCTACAGTATAAGTATTGATAAGTATTTAGTAGTACATATACATGATAAGTATTTTCAGTTCACTGCTCATTGATTGCACTGTGTACAATGATGTATAAAACTATAGATACGTTGTCCGCGCTCTAAAATGACAACATGAAATGAAGGCAATTGACAACATCGCGCTTAGTTACGCTTACGTTACGTTACCGTCGGCATAACTGAAGATATATATTTATCTCCCTCTAGCAAAGGCATTCCACTATACGATGTCATATTTTCTTTCCCTTTCTTTACTCGTAGAAGTAGTTGTCTAGTATTTTCGCCGTTTTTAAGCGCCGCGATGTTGGTTCATGACGTGTCTATATATAATACGTCATTGACTGTGTAGGTAAAAATAATTATTCTGAAAACGGTGTGGCTAAGAATATGTTATAAAACAAAATACACCACAATGGAATCATGCTCAAAATAAAAGGGACAGCAACATCATCATCAATAATCATCATCATCAGCCTATAAGTGCCCACTGCTGAACAAAGGCCTCTTCTCATAAGGAGAAGGTAAGAACATTAATCACCACGTTTGCTCAATGCGGGTTGGCGAATTTCAAACTTAGAATTAGAAATTATAAGTCCAGGTTTCCTCACGATGATGTTTACTGATGTTTACCTTCACCGTACGTATGTCAGTAGTGTCTAGAAATAATCAATTGTTTTGCTAATTTTGTGATTCATTGACTACGAATAGGTATTTTTATGTTTTTTTTTGTTTTTATTTAATATAATGTTTAAAAAAATGTGCAAAAAATATGGGAATAAAAACAGAAAAAAACATACAAATACCTATTCGTAGTCAACGAATCACAAAATTAGCTAAACAATTAATAATATTATACAAAAACATCCGCAATTGACACACGCGGTATCAAAGGGACGACCCCGAGCTATCATACCAATAATTAAATTATAGCATTAGGTATAACATTACTACGAATCGTAGTAAATTCTTTAGAGTTGAATGAGGAAATATGAATTACTAATTTAAAACAAGCTTTATGTGTGGGAGAGCCATGCTTCGGCACGAATGGGTCGGCTCGACCGGAGTGATACCACGGCCTCACAGAAAACCGGTGTGAAACAACCACAGTGTTGTGTTTCGCCGTGTAAGTGAGGTTACCGGAGACCCAATCCTTCCCCTTCCCAATCCCTCCCCAGTTCCTAAATCTCCAAATCTCTAATCCCTAAAAGGTCGGCAACGCACTCGTAACTCCTCCGTTGCGAGTGTCCATGGGCGGCGCTGATTGCTTACCATCAGGTAATCCGGCTGCTCGTTTGCTGACCTATCACATAAAAAAAAGCTGGCAAGGCCGGCAACGCACCTGTGACTCCTCTGGTGGTGCGGATGTCCATGGGCGTCGCTGATCGCTTACCCTCAGGTGATACGTCTGCTCGTTTGCCACCTATTCCATAAAAAAAAGCTTTGGCTCGTGACTGTTCGTCAAGTATAGGAATAGCATTTGTAACATCATTAGATTTACTGTGCGATAAAGGTAATCCTCTTTCGCCCAGGGTAAGGCCAGATGATGTGTCAGACTCTTACTAACTAAAAACCGCCACCCCCTTCCTCCTCTAGGCTGAGGCTACGGTACCTCATTGCGGTTAAACTGCATCCTTGGCTGACCAGGCCATTTTATAGTGGTCAATTGACTCTTTAAGGAGTTTCAGCAACGCTACGCTACGCCGCGCCGTGCGGCAAATATCCACCCTTACGTTGTTGAGACACCTGCGGCCCGGACTAAGCGTTTTGCCTAGTCATTTATACCGCGTACATCGAGGGATTGGAACAGTTTGACGGCTGCAGTCTTTCCGTCTGAATACAATTCAGGCGTCTTCAAGGCTAGAGTGAATAGGCTCTTAATAAATTAGTGCGCCTTACCATCAACGATTGCATCACTGCTTACCATCAGATGGGATCGCAGTCAAGCACTAGTTTATTGCAGGCAAGTTTATAACCTCAGGTGTAGTTTTGGTCGGGTGGCGAGCTAACCTTGCTTGTCGACCGTACAACAGCGCTTACAGTGGCCGGAGATAGTCTCTCGATCTCTGACTCCTAGAGTATCCTACTTCGGCGGCAAGGACGTGAGTAGAATAGTACCCTCACGAGCTCTGCTTTCTTCTTTGCAAATAGACTTATACGGTGTGACAGGGCCTTGCGCTTGTATTTTAGTGGCAATCTGACTGACAGATGATGAACAACCAAAGATAAGAACAGGAATATAAGAACATTGAAATAATACCTTAAAAAAAAAAACTATGCCATCAAATGCCCGCACCGCACAGTTGGCGCGATGTCTGGGCAACTGGCTGCCGCACAACATGTCGTGGGTTCGAATTCCGCACGGAACAACTATTTGTGTAATCCACAAATTATTGTTCCGGGTCTGGGTGTGATGTGTATGTGAAATTGTATGTTTGTAAACGCACCCACGACACAGGAGCAAAATCCAAGTGTGGAGCAACATTAAAAAAAAAGAATAATTTAAAGATACATAATATAAGTAATAAATAGCAAAATAAGATTTATTGTCATTTAAAAGAAAAAAAACATACAACCATTGTATGTTAAACATTTTACAGGTCGTACCTACTTACTGGAATTCTCTTGCGAACAATTACGATAGGGGAATGACCCGAACCACATGACTCACTCAAGGTCATTTCCGTACATCGAGACAAGGAGGAAAAATGTTGCTTGACATTGTGTCAAGCAACATTTTTCCTCCTTGTCTACTTGTCTACTTGTCTACTTGTCTACTTGTCTACTTGTCTACTTGTCTAATACTTTATTTATTGACACATAGATTTCGAATTTGTGTAAGTATTAACAAAAATAAAATTAAGAAAATTATTTTATATATATTTTTTTTTTATTTAATAAGTCGGCGAACGAGCGAACGGATTACCTGATGGTAAGCAATCAGCGCCGCCCATGGACACCCGCAACGGAGGAGTTACGAATGCGTTGCCGACCTTTTAGGGATTAGGGATTTGGAGACTTAGGGATTGGTGGAGGGGAAGTATTATAAGAATTTCTATGTACGTATTAAGTGTGGGAGAGCCATGCTTCAGCACGAATGGGTCGGTTCGACAGGAGTGATACCACGGCCTCACGGAAACCCGACGTGAAACAACCACAGCGTTGTGTTTCCCAATCCCTGCCCCTGCCCTATCCCTTCCCAATTCTTAAATATCCGCAACCCTTATCCCCAAAAGGCTTAACCTCCTGTATATTCCTTTGATGTGGCGGGGGACCATGGGCGGCGCTGTTTGCTTACCATCAGTAATGCTCATCGTCACCATAAAAAGAAACGTATGATGAATTCGAATCATGGGTTCAGGTTTTTTCCCGGTGTGCTTTTTTACCGCGAGTCAAAGATTTGTAAATAATCTCAGGAAGTTCAAACAATAGGGATGACGACTAAAAAATAAATAATAATTAGTCCATCTTTTAGAACGCCAGAAAATTCGGGCTACGTCATTATTTCGTAAAATTTTTTAAGAAAGAGTGACGTCACGATTCCCATGTTGAATTTGAATGTGCTCTATCTTTGTCAATATTAATCCTATGGACAAATAAAAAATACGTATCGAGTATTTTTCTATAATCTAACTGACGGACTAATTAGAATCTTGTTGTTTTAACCCAGGAGACATCCCTATTCGGAAAATATCACATAGGTACTTGCCAAGTTTCGAATCTACACCCTTATGCATAAGAATCGGTCGACTTAAACCCCATCCCTAATCCTTTTCCCATTCTCCAAATCCCCAACCGGTCAAAAACCGGCAACGCACTTGTATATAGAACTTTGATTTTGGGAGTGTTAATGTTAAGGCTAGCTAGTCAAAACAAACTCAGTAAAAAAAAATACCAACCTGTAAAATTATGTTGTTATAAATAGATACTTACTGACATTAATTTACTTTCATCTAGATACTGACATTTAATTTCATTTGAAATGAACTGTCATATCTAATTTCACAGACAAGTGATTCATATATTGCTCAGGAACTTAATAAAGCTCGAAGTATAGGGAGTCCCCTAAAGTCAACACAGTATGCACCGTTATCGACACGAATGCACACGAAACCAAACATAACAATCCTTATCACGTTCAAATTGAGTCTATATTACTCTGATGTTTTGTTTGTGAACCGCAAATAATATGTTGGGCAGAAATAGTATATAAAATGCCGTGCTAGTTAAGGAATATCATTCGAATACGAGCGCTAGTGCTTGCAAAAGGAACAAAACATTCTAAAACTTAAATAAGTAATAATAAAGATGAAGTTCTCCCGAGTGTTTCTGTTCGTGTTCGCGTGCCTGGTCGCGCTGAGCGCCGTCAGCGCCGCGCCGGAACCCAGGTGGAAGGTCTTCAAGAAGATTGTAAGTACTTATAATAAAATACAATTATAAAATTATGTACCACTCACAATATGTCAAAGTGGTCCAGACGCTAAGGCAGGTGTTTTCCAAGCCTAAGGGTGAGCGTTCAAAACGTGACAAGTACCAATAGACTTTTTCTGAGTTATGTGTACTTTCTGAGCTGATTTAGACGCTACTGACAAATTAGTAAAGAAAAGCAATAGTGAGAAAACCTGAACTGATATGTTCTAATCATACTTTTGAACCAATCCGCCTCATACTAGCATGGTGATTAATGCTCAAGCCTTTTCTGTGTGAGATGAGGCCTTTACTCAGCAGTTACTTATGGGACGATGATGGTGATGATTTCAAATTACTGTATTAATAATAATGATTTGTGAAAGATGTGTTCATCTGCAATTATATACTGTGCCACAGCTAGGCTCTCATTAGAAGAAATAACGGGATTTTTAGTCAGTGTTAAAAGTTCGACCGGAGTGATACCACGGCCTCACAGAAAACCGGCGTGAAACAACCACAGCGTTGCGTTTCGCCGTGTGAGTGAGGTTACCGGAGGCCCAATCCTACCCCTCACCCAATCCTTCCCCTCACCCAATCCCTCCTCAATCCCTAAATCTCCAAATCCCTAATCCCTAAAAGGTCAGCAACTCCGTTGCGAGTATCCATGGGCGGCGCTGATTGCTTACCATCAGGTAATCCGTCTGCTCGTTTGCTGACCGTTTACATAAAAAAAAGTCTGACAGTTTCTCAAGCCTAGGGCACTGGCGGTCATTCGATGGTTTCAATTGTCTAATCGTAGCCAAAATCATCTCCACCTAAATTACAGTTTTAAAAAAATCACAGTGTTCTAGGTTTAAACACTCAAGGTACGAAATACCTCTATTTAATCCACCTTTGCATCGTATCTACAGCCAATTTCTCATTCTCTTTCTATTTTACAGGAAAAAGTTGGCCGTAACGTACGAGACGGTATCATCAAGGCTGGTCCAGCTATTGGTGTCCTTGGACAAGCCAAGGCTCTTGGATAAGCTGGTCTCCAAACACATCATTATCCTCATTTTGGTCGACTTGTTCTCGACTAAGTTGGCACACCATTTTCTTTCCATCAGACTTGTATAAAAACATTATATTATAATTTTAATGTAGGATTAGAATACCGGAGGCCCAATCCTTCCCCTTCTCCAATCCCTCCTCAATCCCTAAATCTCCAAATCCCTAATCCCTAAAAGGTCGGCAACGCACTCGTAACTCCTCCGTTGCGAGTGTCCATGAGCGGCGCTGATTGCTTACCATCAGGTAATCCGTCCGCTCGTTTGCCGACCTATTACATAAAAAAAAAGGATTATTTTCCATGTAATTACTAAATATCTCTTAAGTTGTGCTGTGAAAATAAATTATTGTTATAATTATTTAATATGGTTTTTCATTCCCTATTGTTTCTGCTAAGATTTGTCTTGTGTGGTGGCTTAAGACGGTCTATAATTTTACGATGACATCAGAAAATTATAGACCCGGAATAACAGTTTTTCAAAGTCAAAGTCAAAGTCAAAGGATTTATTTGTTCTTGAATACAGTTACATAAAAGGTGTTACAATATATCAATAAGTTCAGTATTCAGTCATAAGCTAATGACATGCAAATGTTTGATAACAAGTTTTTATATCTTATTCATTAATACATTATTCTGGAAACCTATAGTATATTGCAAAAAATCTTTTATAGAGTAGGGAGGATTCTCAATTAGCCATCCATTTTGGTTTACACTACCTAATATTTTTTCTGCGTGGTAGACAGTCACGCCACAAGTTACACAGTACACAGCTCAACGAAAGTGGCAACAAAATAATGTTACTAGGTAAGATATCCAACGTAAAGCCGAGGTACCGAGTTCCCTTACCACTACATCACCGCCTCACGTCTGTGGTAGAGGAGTTTAAGGGGAATTTTGTTGTGCACCTCCCACAGATACGGAGTATAAAATCATCTGATATTACGGCCTTACAAATATACAGGGTGTCCGGTAAAGAACGGATAACTTTGCAATACCTTTAAGTATATCTTATGGCCATTTATTTATTTATTTATTTATTTATTTATTTTAATAGGCACACAAAACAGGATACAATCAATAACATTACAGAATATCTATAAAATAAGTAAAACAGATCAAGACCGCATCCCTACACATGTGTACACTGCATGATTATTAGGCAATTATATTATGCAGGAAGTGTTATAATATAAAATATTTAATAACTTAATTAAATTAATTGATATTTGAATTAGATTGATTGATTAATTGAATATTGTAATATTGAGTTATTAATTAATTAAATATAATTAATTATAAATACTATTATAAATTTAATTAGAAGAATAAAAATTACAATTAGAATTTCAATTTTGACATAATTCGACCTATTTTATATTTGAATTTAAAAAATCTATGATCAAATATATCTAATTCTTTGCTATGTTCGTGAAGTAGCTCGTTGTAAAGACGACACATTCTTACAATAGGGTTGTAGTAAGATGTATTATTTATATGAACATCTAATATGAAACTCCTGAGGTGAGGTTGGCGACTTCTAAATTTAATATTAAAATTAATTGAGGATAACAAGTCAGGGCTGTCCACTGATGAATGAAGAATCTTGTGCAGGCACAAAATGTCACTCCGTTTACGGCGTACCTCTAGTGATTGCAGATTGAACTTGTCCAGTCTTTCCTTGTATGATGTTAGCTGTCTATGAACACCCATTTTACGGCACACTATGTGAACAAATTTCTTTTGGATGCGTTCCAAATTATTTATGTGAACTGCATAGAATGGCGACCAAATAATTGAGTTATATTCTAATATACTACGAATCAAAGTAAAATAAAGATAGAATAAGCTTTGCGGCTTACTAAAGTCCTTGGTAACTCTGCAGATGAATCCGATCAGACGTGTGCTTCTATTATGGTCAAAATGTGCATGAAATGTAAGCTTCTCGTCAAAGAGGATTCCTAAATCTTTAGCAACATGTTTACGTTCTAAGATGTGACCGTTAATATTATAGTTGAATAAAATTTTTTGGACTTTGTTACTAAAAGAAATTATAAAGCATTTTTGAATGTTTAAGTACATGCTATTGCCATTACACCAGTTCACAATTTGCTCTAAATCCAATTGAAGCTTTAAGGCATCGTTACAATTGTTAATTGTAGTATATATTTTAAGGTCATCTGCGTATAATAGACATGAGCTATGCAGTCCATCTACGAGGTCGTTGATAAAAGCAATGAAGAAAAGTGGCCCTAAATGGGATCCCTGAGGAACTCCGGAAGTACAGATAATGGGATCCGATACGACACCCTTAATAGCGACAAGCTGACTCCTTCTATCTAGATAAGACCTAACCCAGCGAAGCAAATTACCATGAATGCCGTAACTTGATAGTTTAGAACATAACAAGCTATGATTAACCTTATCAAATGCTTTCGAAAAATCTGTGTAGATTGAGTCTACCTGCGATCTTCTTCCAAAAGCCAAGCACAAGTCATTTTTATATACTAACAAGTTGGACAAAGTAGATCGATTTCTAACAAAACCGTGCTGTCTAGGTGATAAGAGCGGACTGACGTGATGGTACAAGAAGTCATACACTACAGATTCAAATAATTTTGCCATACAAGAAAGAATACTAATTGGCCTATAATTTTCACAGCGAGACCTGTCGCCTGACTTATGTATTGGAACTATGTGAGCTATTTTCCACATATTCGGGAAAGAACCTGATTTAAGGGAATTGTTAAAAATAATAGATAAGGGCTGAGACAACTCCTTGCCACATTTTTTAATAAATAACGGAGGAATCAAGTCCGGCCCAGCACCCTTGCCAGCATCTAGTTTACCAATTTTTCGGAGAATGTCGTTCTCACTTATGCGGATGCCAGAAAGACCACTTACGCCAGCCTGTCGACACTCCAAACCGTCAGCGGTCACTCCAGACGAATCAAATACTGAGCCAAAGTATCGAGAGAACAGCTCGCAAATACCACGCTGATCAGAAGACACCAGATTACCATAAGTCATTGTTTGAGGTATAGCATTCGTGTCTTTTTTACTATTGACAAAACGCCAAAAATTCTTGATGTCATGTTCAAGAGAAGACTCCACAGACGATACAAATACGTAGTAGTCCTCGGCGATAAGTTTTTTACACCGAGACCGGAGCAAGCTGAATGTATCATAATCTCGAGGATTACCATACTTTTTGAACAATCGATGATATTTTAACTTCTCCCTCAGCACTCGTCTCAGAACCGGAGAGAACCAGGTGGGATAATGACACGAATTACCTGTCGAAAGGGGTGTGTGTCGAGATATTATGCCATTGAGTGCTGTATAAAAATTATTAACCGAGGTGTCTATGTTTGGCGCACGTAAGATTGAACTCCAGTTAGTAGCACCAAGCTCTGCTCTAAGATTTAAATAGTCACACTTATGAAAGTTAAACCGACGGTGTTTACGCGGTTTCAGATATTTAGGTGTTGAACTAGTCATATTTAAGCTGATTATAAGCGAAGGATGATGTACATCTAATCGACTAAGTGGTTCAGCACCGTAGACATGTATAGAGGTTAGGGTCGATAAAATAAGGTCCAAATAGCGATTGTTTCTATTAGGGATATTATTAAATTGATGTAAATCGCAAAGATCCAGGGTCTCAGTGAGAAAAGTGGCTTTTTGGTCAAGTGGTTGGCTAGGCAATAAGTGATTAGAATTGGGACATTTTGTCCATGACAGGGATGGAGTGTTAAAGTCACCTATTAAAATAAAATCACCGAAACCGTGATTTTCAAATATAATTCTTTGACAGTTACAATAAAATCCATCAATTTGTTCCATAGGGAGATCAGGTGGTAGGTAACATACACACAAATTCAACACATCATTCGACTTGCCAGACGGATGACAAATCGATAGCCAAAGGTCCTCAACATTAGACTCCCACGAGGTCTTACGTGAATTGTGTATGTTATTTTTTATAGCAACAAGTACGCCCCCACCTTCTGTTTTAACTATTTCTGTATTGCACCGGTCACGCCTATATACTGTATATCTCGAGTCAAAAACTTCAGCGTCAAAAACACTATCATTTAGATTAGTTTCAGTAAGGCAAATTATGTCATAATTGCTATTTAGAACATTCAGATAAAATTCATTAGTCTTAGACCTAATCCTGTTTACATTTTGATAGTAAATTAACATAAAATTAGCTTAGATAAACCAAATTGTACAAACCAAATACAGAAACAAAAAGAGTATGCTAAGAATCAATACAATAGCGTTTATTCTTTTCCCAAGTTACTAATGTTGTTAAGGAAGTCGACATTTTTTACAAGGATGTGACCAGCCCTGTCATCCTTGCGCATGTATACACGTCCATATTTCACCCAAACGTATTTGAACTTAAGCTCTTTTGCCTTGAGCCTGGTAGCAGCGTGAAGATATTTGCACTCTGGAGAAAGGTGCTCGCAAACGTATACCTTGCAACTGGAAGAAGTTAGGCCAAGATGTGAAGAGTTCAGATATTGTTCATTTGTAGATTTGTTAAATCGACGACACGCAGAAATGACCTGATCTCGCAGGCGTGAGTTAGACAAAGTGACTAATATGTTCCGTGGACGATCTTTTTTAGGATCTAATTTAGCTACTCGCCTGCACGAGATTATCTGATCATCTTTTATTTCAGTGTTTACGGATTTACACAGACTCTTAAACATAGCTAAGATGTCCAATGTCTTTACGCATGCTCGGGTATTTTTCATTTCTGATTTAAGATCCGCGACGTCAGCACAAATATAGTCGGTGGTCATTGTAAACTCATTTTTCAGCTGTTGTACTACAGAATCAATTTCAGTTTTGACGAGTTTCTTCACCTCTTCTTTAAGGATTGACCTGAACTTGTCCATTAAAGTAGACATGGAAGCATTTAATCTTTGATCCAGCAAATCCCTAATGTTATCCATGGTAATAATGTTAGATTTTGTTGAGGGCACAGTGGCATGTGTAGGCGGCGGCGAACTATCAAATGACATATTCATTGACTCGTCCGAAGTAGGCACCTGCGCTTGTCGTACAGGAGTATTCAGATTAGACCGAGTACGCCGC